ATGTTTGATTAGTTTTTGATTGTTCACATGTGCATTGCTGTGGCTTTGTTTGTACAACAGTTTATTATTTGCACTGAGACAGTATACAATCTATTATTTTGCTATTTGGACAGCATTTCTGTAACTGGCAACATTTACTGTATATAAACAAAGTTTACAAGTAAATATCTGTCTTTAAAAGAATAACAGTCGGTTAGATACATGTCAAATGCTAAGCACTGACTGAGTGTAAAGTGTTGTACATTGCTAGCATTATAAATCCATAGTATATTTTACAGAATGCATCACGCTTTAAAAGAAGGCATGTGATACATATTCACTGTACATTCTGCTGAATGTTACATCATGTTTTGCATCATTTAAATAGTTAGAACACTTTAAAACACGATTAGAACATAAGGTGAACACGTTATGGTCACAAGGCTTTAGACAGTACCATCACAGCCTCTAATCAAACCCAACAGCCACTTCATAAACACCAAATGAAAAGTTCCAGCTTCTTACCTGAGGTAAAGATGAGAATGAATGTGATTTGAAAGAAAAGGTAAAGGACCATGTTGATAACAGGTTTGGTCCAAAGTAAAAGCTCTCGTTATCCGTGTTTGTAGTCTGATGAAACAATGGTCTTTCAGAGTGACTGATGAACAGAAACCGTTTGAGATAAAAGAGAGAAGTGATCTGGCCGAATCTTCATGGCTCTTCCTTCTTTTACGTCCCCTGATCATGACCTATGTCACACTCAGGCTATTGAGTCATATATGGTGTTTATTTTGTCGCGTGAGTCTAGTTAGCGCGTGAGCAGTAGTTTTTTTGTCTTCTCATGAAAGTAAAACTATTCCATGGCTAAAGAATTTAGTCTTACAGAGCTCATATCATGTAAAACTTTTCATTCTCATAGAATTTGATGTAGCAAGTGTTGAAGTTTTAAAACTGTTCACCCCCCCTGGGTCTATCCACTTTAACAGTCACACTAAGAAATATATTTGAAAAAATTATTTATTGGTCAACTTGTTTTCCTGGTTCCACATGACAACAAGCATGGATCACTTGCCCAGGTGGTGGAAATATAATAATAATAATAAATTTACTAACAACATTTGTCTGCCCTGTGATGGACTGGCCACCTGTCCAGGGTGTATCCTGCCTTCTGCCCAATGACAGCTGGGATAGCCTCCAGCACCCCACCGCGACCCAGAAGGATAAGCGGTTTAGATGATGTATGTATGTATGTATAACAACATTTGTATAAAATGTATTGTAAAAGGCAAACAATGTAATATAACAGAAATGGAACAGAAGTAGAATAAAATTGAAATACTAAAAGGCATCTAATAAAAACATCTGTAGAAAATGTATTGTAAAAGGCGGGTAGTACACTATGCGAAGCTAGTGTCCAGATCAGTTTACCCTAACTGGGCAACACGACGGAGCGGTCACACCCTTTTTTTTAAGGTAACACAGAGACACATTTTATTATCACGTTTGTGCCATTCAACAAAAATATTATTTTTAGGGGTGTAGAACATGACATCCTACATTTTTTTCCAGTGTTACTTGAAGTCAGTGATGAGCAGCTTTCAGGCAATGATATCGTTCCACAACACTGCCACCCAGTGGGCAAGATAAGCATTTCACACTCTATTTACTGAAGGGAATATGTTTCCAGTACTTGGCAGACTCTCTTATCCAGATCATTTTTCACAGAGGTATGTGAAAGTAGCGTTAGGAGTCTTGCCCAAGGACTCATATTGGTATAGTGTAGGGTGCTTGCCTAGGCAGGGGATCAGACCCTAGCCTATAGCACAGAAGGCAGAGGTGTTACCTACTACACTACACTACACTAACCACATAAAGACAAACAGACAAGGTTTTACTGATTTTTAACAGCGATTTGATTGCGAAAAAAGGTCAACTGTGCGCTTATAATGCATGTTAAAGTGGATTTATGTAAACTAAGCTGTCAAAATGGTCCATTTTGAAAGAACTGTTTTTTTTGTGGTGTCCTGACAAACACCACATAGCCTATATATCCACCTTTGCCTCCTACAAGAGCTTAGCCCCACCTATTCACACAGTTAGAAGTAGTATTTCACCTTGGACTTCTTTTTGAATGAGGCACAATACAGGACAGCCAATCAGAACAGAGCTCCTTTACATATATAACTCTTTCATACTCAAAACCCAGGACATTATTGGGATACGTTTACTGGTAACATTTGGGCTTTGCATCATTCACACATGCAACCCTTTAAAGGAGAATTCTAGCTATGTTTTTAATTTCTGCATAATTAAATGATTAACACATAAACAAATTCATTCAGAGTGGTTTGGTGTGAAATGCTCCATTCTAGAGAAAGCTACCAAGTCTGAATTGTTCACAGTTGTGGTGATAGAAAACAGACATCTGAAGAGTTTAATGACTCTAAAAGCTACTACATGAAATTGTTATGGATAGGTAACCTAATGTTTGAGACAGTTTATGATACTTTTGAGAAGACTACTTTTGGCCTAAAAAGTAATTTTAAAATCCATTAATTGTGGAGAGGTACATGTAGGACACAGTAAAGCATAATAAATTTGTTATAAAATTGTTTTTTTTTTATTTGTTATTATTTTTAAAACACTGTATATCCACTGTTCATTTTGGATAAGCAAATAAGATGGCTGTATTTGTGTTTTAGACATGGCGACCCCTAGTTCCTATCACCACCGCTGTAAACAATGAGTCTGTAAATTGCCAGTGCAATCACTGAATTATGTAGAAATTGTAAAAGATCAGTGGAATTCCCATTTAACAGTATTTTACCAGAACGCATGCCTGCATACATGCCATGACATCCTCAGCATAAATGTGAAACAGCTCCTTCATTTTTAAATCATATATTAAATACTTACACTTTTCTCTCACATTACATTAAAAAAGTCAACTGTTAAAAAAAAGCCTCATGCAAAGGTTTTACTTTGCTGGTCATGCCGCTTCTCTCAAAAATCATGTACAAAATACACTTCTGACTTTTTTAGAATTCAACTAAAAAACTCAATGGTAAAACAAAATCCCCACTGGAACTTTCCAGTGTAATTGCTAAATGGTTTCTGTTCAGACAAGCACTCCCGGTAATTTTCCAGGAATTGTACTAGGTCTCGTGCAGATAAATTGCCGGATCAACTTGATGTGGATTTCAGCTTCTGCTCGCGTTCACACTTAAGCCCTTCCCATTTAACTACTGTTAAATTGCTGGTTAAAAGTGCACACATGAAAAAGGGCTGTAAAGGCACAAAAGTAGCAAACAAAAACTGTAAGCCTATGTACAAATTTAAGAATTTAAGAGAAGTGGGAAAACAACCTTCTGGTACATGAAACCACACAAAGCCTACAGAAGAATGTATTCAACAGCAAAGGTAAATCATCTCTTTCAATGTACAAATGTTTACACCAATTTGTGGGAAATCCACTTAAATTAGCTTTTTAACACTTATTAACAAATCAAAATGTGGAGTAGCTATTTTACAATGTGCACTGTAAATACTTCATCAAAATCAATCACTCTAAAAACAGAGAAAGCAGCCCTAAACAATGTTTAGTCTTGACTCATAAATCTTAACAATCATTAGCAAGTAAGTTAAGATGAATAAAGGTGCATTCTGGCCTGACATGGGAGTTTATTATGATATTTGTTATGTCAAGCACTATTTTGTAGTGCAGCATTATACACCTCAGCCTGATCAGTGTAACATAAATTCACAAATTTATATAGATTTTTTTTTTTCAAAGAGACAAAATTCAGGCTTCAACTATTACTTTTTGGCTATGTGATGTAACTTTCTCCATTTCTATAGATAACAATATATTAGTTGTTAGAAACCACATTATCAAGTATGTTTGAGATTATTTAACAACTTCATGCGGTTTGAGGCAAATGAATGGTTTAGGTGTGCGGTTCACTAACTGATAGGCATACGTTTTAGCACTTGTGAGCTACATTAGCCTTATAGCTCCGGTGCAAATATATGCTTAGTTCACAGTATATGGGCCACATCTGGGCCACATCCGTTGTATTGTATTCCTTTTTACAGTGTGTGGGTCTCATTTGGGCCACATCTATTATTTCTTCTTGTTTTACAGTATATGGGCCAGATCTGGACCGAGAACCAGCCAGAACTTTGCTAACTGGGATAGAGGTGGACTTTATTGGTTGATTGACCAGACTTGTGAAAATTTGCTTTTTCGCAGAACTATTACTTTAACAGTTCTGCAGTTCTGACTGTTAAGACAGAAAGTTAGTCTATACTTTGCTGATATTTGTGAAGATGTGAGTTAAGGTAATTGTTGGACTTAAAGGGACATATAAGATTAGCCCGTTTACAATGGGCTGCACTACAATCCCCAGCATGCACTGCACAGTAATGTGCGCTCCCAGCCCCCTCCCCAACAGCAATCTCTGGGACCTTGCGGTTACACGACAAGTCTGCACAGCTCCACACCAGTCTTCTCACCAAACACGCTAGCTGTGTTTCAGCTGCAGTTCAACCAAGAAGGGGGGAACTTTTAAAAGTACATCTGTTTGTTGTTTTCTGAATGCAGAAGGAAGCCACATAGCTAATGCTATGGCTACTGCCGAATATCTTAGAATTTGGTGACTGTCTTGATGAGGAGGACATGATTGACATGACAAATAACATCAAATTACTTTTAGGCCACAATGTCCGTTTAATCATCTGGATTTACTTGCTAATGACTGTTGAGATTCATGAGTCCAGGCTAAGAGCTGTTTAAAGTAAAATCACACTGCCACATTGCTGATAACTAACACAGTGGTCTTTTTGAAGGTAATCATTTAAACTCTTTTACAGTCCAGTATTTATCTACTGTTCATCCAGCTATCATGGATGCCCTGCCCTCGCTCTTGAAGTGAAAAGCTTTTGGATCTCCACGCCCAGGCAGACTCTTGTAGGCGGGTCTCCCTCGCGCTGGTTTTGACTCTGCTTCTTACTACTTTTCCCGGCTTGCATTGTAATTTAACTCTTGGCCACGTCCACCGGCCACGTCGCCCCGTGTTCGCCATATTTCTTGGAGGAATGCACTGGAAAAGTGTAGGAAACCGGTTAAAGCGAATTTCAGGCGTTTCATACTTGGAATAACAGCGGACAGAAACGGTTGTCTTCTCTTGTTCGAAGAAAAACCATCAAAAGCTACAATGAACATCTTTCGGCTGGCCGGAGATCTGTCTCACTTAGCAGCCATCATCATTCTGCTGCTCAAAATATGGAGAACCAGGTCTTGCGCAGGTAAGTTAGCGCTCTAGCTGGCAAACAGAGGTGCTTTTTAAAAGTTAACACATGGTTTAATTGCTGTCTGTTCACCTGTAAACGAGTCTTAGCTGCTGGTTCAAATTGCAGTGTAACTGTGTTAGTTCTGTGCTGCCCATGATCGCTAATTCGTTTAGCTACCTTAGCGTTAGCTAGATGGCTATCAGTTTATCACTCAGTCTTAAGCAAAAATATGTCGAATTCAGAATGCAGTGGTTATTTCACAGGTAATACTTAGATGAACTAGATTGCAATACAACCTTAATTTGTATATATTTTATTTAGACATGCAGCTTACATTTGCCGGCTCTTGTTTGCTTAGAGATGGATAACTCTAGCTAGTTGTAGCCAGTAGGCTAGCTAACGGTCTTGTTGCTAACCTGATTCATCGCAAAACTGAGAAACTAACGTTAATATTCGTCAGCACAATTATAGATAATAATTTGCTCTGTTTGTTATATTTGTGTTTTTGCGTTTTTAGTCGCCCATCTCCATGATTAATTAAGTCGTGAGTAATAGCCTGGCTACTTTTATTTGCGGTGGTTGGAAGTGCATATGTGGTAACATAGCAAGCCAGATATGCAGCTAACTTTTTTAATTAGATACTCTTCTTTGGCGAGATGCCCTCGATAAGAATAGGTTTAGACTGCATGATTACTTTAGTTACCCTAATCAACAACTCATGAAGGCATGGTGTAATGATTAGTTTGTGCCACATATAAACTCTTGCAACTTTTTTTGCAATGGTCCGTCAAAAAAGTCGATCAAGAGAAGCCAGAGTTGCACAGCTGTCCAAACAGATCATTGCAAAATGCTGTGTTAAAGAAAACAGTTAAACTACGTTTTCCAGCATGCACTTCAAAACTTACGTGCTTTCTTTTGACGTGGCAGTACGTTGTATGTCACATAGCAGTTGCATGGTAAATGGTATGTGCTCCGCAGAGACATGCCCTCAACTCTGTAACTGCGAGTGCATTTTCTTATCGTGATCTTATTAGCCTTTGTGACTCAAAGTAAGCAGGGAAGTGCTGTTAACGTTACCGTTTTAAAGTTGTACATTAATTGTGCTTTACAGGGATCTCTGGGAAAAGCCAGATACTCTTTGCCTTGGTTTTCACAACACGCTATCTGGATCTCCTTACATCCTTCATATCCCTCTACAATACAAGCATGAAGGTAAATGACTTGTTGCATTTCAATAGAGGAATAATTTAAAATGAACGTTTTGTATGTTCATTATATAGGCACAAACTGCAATACTGCTTGCATTTATCAAAGCACTGTCTCTCACTTTCCACAACAGGTCATCTACATTGGATGCTCTTATGCCACTGTTTACTTAATCTACGCGAAGTTCAGGGCCACTTATGATGGGAACCATGACACTTTCAGAGTGGAGTTCCTTGTAGTTCCAGTTGGAGGCCTGGCCTTTTTGGTCAACCACGACTTCTCTCCATTGGAGGTATGTTGGCTATAAATGAGTTAGCCTGTCCAGGTTCTTCAGGTTTATGTACTGTTAATGAGGTATCTGTATACAATACTTCCATGCTTTTTGTCAATAAAGGTGCAACTAACTTTTGTTATTTACGTTCTCTGTAATTAGATACCAAAAAGAAAACCCTTTTTATGTTATGCACACAGATCCTATGGACCTTCTCCATCTACCTTGAGTCAGTGGCCATTCTGCCTCAGCTCTTCATGATCAGCAAGACAGGAGAGGCTGAGACCATCACCACCCACTATCTGTTCTGCCTGGGCGTCTACCGTGCTCTCTACCTCTTCAACTGGATCTGGAGGTTCTACTTTGAGGGCTTCTTTGACATGATTGCCATTGTGGCTGGGGTGGTCCAGACCATCCTCTATTGTGACTTCTTCTATCTTTATTTCACAAAAGGTGAGCTTCAGCACATGACAGAACTCACATTCTTAGAGGTTTAGTTGTTTTTATTCTATTCAGCATTAAAAATTCTAAGATATTAAGTAATGTTACAAAAAAAAATTATTAGGAGTTTGTGAACAATAACATAATACCGGATTTTAATCATGAAGAGTTTTGAAGGCCCTATTCTGACACAGTCTCTCTGGTTCACACAGTGCTGAAGGGAAAGAAGCTGAGCCTGCCAGCATAAGTGCCAAAGAACAGAGACCTGTGTCACCATTCAGACTCGCAGGGGGGCATGGGCCAGTAATGCCACAGCAAGACGCCGAAGACAGAACACGTATGTGAAACTGTTGCTGTTTTTGTGAAATGTCACCTGGATAAAAATGAAACGGCGCCATGAACTGCAATGAGGATTTCTCTTGGATCTGGCAACCGATTTTTTGTTTTCAGCATCTTGCAATACCTTTTTAGTGCTGTTAAAAAAGAAAACAACTTTTCTATGTGAGGTGTACTACAGGATGAAGCTCCAAATGTTAACAATTGACTCAATTTAAAACCCCTACAAACTCTGCTTATTACATGTACTTTTGAATATTCATGACATGATGTCTGATGTCTCCAGGAGTGGTGAAACTTGGCCTGAGGAACATGTACTGAACAATAGAACAATACATTAGGTTGAGCACATCCCATTCTTTATTTTCCATGCCAAATAACATCACAATACAAAATTATTGATTAGACTTCAGTGAAATTTCAGTATAACATGAAATGAATGGCTGATTTTAGATTCCAACAGCATTTCAAGGTTTTTCATTAATTCACACAATGCCTTATTTCAGCTACACTTTGTACAGTATATAAGCAGAGATGCCCCCTTGTAAATGTATTAACCTTTGTGTAAAGAAGCGAATGTGATGAGGATGTTTTGTACTGCCAATTCATTCAGCACTGATAGTTTGTATTCTTTATGTATTGGCTCCAAATTACTGTGGGTTTTGTATCTCTCTTAGGGATGTAGTCATTCATCAGTGGTCATGATGTAATATACAACATGCACAACACAGACTAAGATAATATTGATAATAGTATCCTGCAACTAAATATTTGTTGTTCACATGCAGTAATTTATCGCAAAAAGCACATGGAATTTAACATGGTGTGCATATTATCAAAAACTGGAGTGTGTGTATATGGCTTCCATAGAGCTGCATATATTTCCCCCCAACTTGAGTCATTCCTGTAGAGTTTCCTTTCTTTTTTTGTTTTGTTTGTTTTTACATATTACCACCTCCAATAAAAAATTTTACAGGCCATTGTTTTTGCTTTTCATTCTTGTAAGGCTCTTTGTAAAGAATATTCTCTACATTGTTTGGACAGTACTGCATTAAACATCTAAACTATGTGACCTCCGAAACATTATGTGCTTAATCATCACACTTTAGGTATTAAAGTTACATACCTAAAATTTTAATACCTAAAGATAAAGTACTTTAGATATTAAACTTTAGTTTACATAACTACTTTCCAGTACACAGCAGTTCCAGCTTTACGTTGCCATGCAATTTTAGGTTTTGAAATGCAAAACAGTACCTTATTCTGGTTATATATTTTAAAATAGAACTATAGAGAAATATATAGATCATATTGGTCAGTTAACCAATATGATCTATATATACTGAAGCTTTCAGTTACAAACAGTTTCATGATATATAAGAATACACAGTACTATATCAAACTATGTTTTGGTCTGTAACCGTGATCCCAAAGCATTTTGGAAGTAGTATCCTCTTTAACCAGCAGAGGTCCACTGTGGTGTCACAATATGAGATTTAGAAATCCGAATGCTATTTGGCCAAATGACACAAATGGAATTAATGACCACATCATTTCACAGTGTTAACATCAAAAGTATCATGGGGCTTTGAAAGTATGATGCAATATAAGGTAATACAGTGTCATGGTGGTATATAGTGTTTGCTGCACTGCTATTGTAACCACCCTGCAGGAGAAACAGGGTAAGTATGAAAACCACTTCAGACTTTTGTACAAAGGTACCAGAACATAAGTAATCTTTCCCATTCAATTCCATAGTCTTGAGAAGAAAATACAGCTGGCATTCATAGATATATCATTGTAGTGCAAAAATACAGTGTTGCAGTTAATGCATTTTGTGTGTTCTGAAAAGACGACGTGAAAATTTCCGAATCGATGAATAAAGTTGTTTTTGACCAACAGACATGGTCAAAAATGACTTGGAAATAAATCTTGTTCCATTCATGTCTTTTCAAAGTTAAGAAGGTTTTTTCCTTCTCTTGTAAAGGTACCATTTTGGAGATAAGGAATTTTTTGTCCTGATGGCAACAATATGTAAATCAGGAAAATGTAACAAGGATAGTATCTTTGACAGCAGCATTCAATTACATTGTCCCATAAGAAATGCAGATTGTTGCCTCTGCTAATAATGGGCCTGATTCACCAACCATTCTTAAGACATTTCTTCTTAAAACCCACTTCCACAGTTTTCACAAAGATTCTGAAATTCACCAATGTTCTCTTATTTAGGATTTGTTCTTAAGTAAGAACAGAATTTACACACACTCAAGAGCACAAAGGTGCCAACAATTCTGCGCTTTAAGAACACACCATGAATCTGATGTAACTTTTCCTTAGGATCTTTCTCAAGAAAGAATTTAGGAAGATATTGGTGAATGAGGCCCATTGATTCTTTCGTTTACCTGAGGTTTTTGGAGGAGGGGAAGAGAGGCATTCTCGCAGGCCTCCAGGTACATACAATGTACATGCTTTGTTACCACTCTGTTTTTTTGGTCTCCATGTCTCCAGTAGAGATGTTGTTTTCAGGTGTCCTAACCAGAGAAATAAGAAATGAACACAATTGAAGGCGTAGTTCGGTTTAATGTTGCTATTGGTGGTTACTACCTTCCATTTCTTGTCAGGAGCATTAGCATGTATGGCTGAACCATTCTTTTAACAGGGCATTTGTCAATGATATGACACTGTGTAAGGATGGTGTGGTGGGAATGTGAACTGAAGTCAGGAGAGATACTGTACCTGTGAATGAAACAGAAGTTCAGCACATGTGAAATTACGATGTACAAGGCACTGAGTACACAGGAGACCCAGAAGGACACCACAGCAAGGCAGAAGAGAACACACAGCAAGGTGGTCCCTCCAATCATCAACAAGAAAACTGTAGGCACAAGGCAAAGTGGTCCATCAAAGGTGATTTGGACTTCATCTCATGCTGAAATTGTGCCTACACTCAGTGGCATAATCACTAACTGTGCAGGCGGGTGTGGTTTAGATGGCAGTAGTAAGCAATAGTAAGTGATCAAAGCAAATTACATCGTCTTGTCCTAGTTATTCAAGGTCACTCACATGTTTTGTGTTATTTCCCACTGGGGCCCATAAGATCATAAGTCATAAGTGGACAGCGAGACATTTAGACATTCACACCTAGCATCTCTATGTGTCTCAAAAGCGTCGCCAGTGATCGGATCACCCAGGACGCATCTTAATGCCAGGTGTGTAGGGGCTATAGTTACATCCCTGTCTACGCTCCTTACTTACTTTCAACAAAGATGAAGCATACTGTAACAGCGATGAAGGTAACAGCAGCAAATGCCAGGAAAAGTCCAATGGGCACTGAGGCTGTTAGACCAAACACCAAAACAACCAGTGCCAAGAAGGGGTGCTCAGTGAGGTACTTTCCCACCCTAGTGTTCAAGAGCTCTGCAACCTAAAAACCAGAGAAAAGAAAAACATGTAGTGGTAGATGACAGGAAAGTGTCATCTTCTGTACCTATGAGGACATCTCACCTTAGGGTCATAGTTTATATCCTCCATCATTGGTGGAAAATTGCCCTGGAGCTCCAGCGTCCCCGTTGGCAGTTGAGGTTCATTGCCACAGCGCGATATCCTTCACCCACCCTGGGTGGCAAGGGCAAAACAGACAAATGGGGTTTGCCAGTCATATTTAACAGCGTTATAACGGTCTAACAGTGCAGATACAAACTTCATACAGTTACAAGTGAATGTCATGTCGTATAAGGACTTTAAGGAAGTTTTTTTTTTTATGGCTAGCTGGGCTGTATTGCTCCAACTATCGCCTCAGCACCTGAGATTACAGTGCCTACAGAGGAAACATACCAGCTTGAGCTATCAGTTTTTTAGATTAACGACCTCTCTGGCCGTCTTTCTCGAGTGTAGCCATCAATCCTATCTAGCTAACGTAATAAAACTCAGCAACCAGCTAAATCCAGAGAAACGTATCAGGAATAACTTTAGCTATTAAGCTAAACAGCTCGGCTTTCTAAACCATAACTGCGCTATAACTTAACTAAAACACAAGTTATGACTACAAGCTGTTTTGATTTAAGGAATAAAATGATTTAAATACCTGTTAATCCGAACGAGGTGATAATATTTCCTTCTAAACTAGAAACGTGAGTTTGAAACAGGGTTGCCAGATATTCAAACAGTTTGACGCGTATAGTTAGGGTTTTCTGACGCGTCACATGCTCAAGGTGCGCCGCCTACTGTATCGCCTGCAAACAGCAACATACTGGAAATTAGGACAGAAAAGGTTTAGAAGGAATTTTTACCTGATTTCAGTAAATAATCAAATAACTAGCTAACAGAAGTACTAACAGTTAGGCTATAACCTTCGCCAAAAATACACTATATATCAAAAACATTGTAGACTCCTCCTTAGCCTTAGTTTCTACTGAAATCAAGGGTAGTAATAGGGAGTTTTTGATAAGTCTTTACACTAAAGGTTGGAACATTGTTCTGAGGATTTGATTGCATTCAGCCACAAGAACTTTAGTGAGGTGGTGATGTTGAATGAATCTGGAATTCAAACATCAGTTGGTCTCAAAGGTTTTGGGTGGAGCACCATCTCTCCAGAGAATGCGGTTCCACTGCCCCACAGCCCATTTACACCCATCTAACCGACGCCTGGCATTGAGCATGTTGATCCTAAGTTTATGTGCTGCTACTCCAGAGCATAACATATAATGTACATTATACCTATTTATTCCATTGACATGCTACCAATCCACTTTTACTCAAATGAGTGAGGAAGAATTGCTTGAAGCAGTTTTCAAATGCAATGCTCAGCTCTTCTTTCAAGCTTCAACCATCAAACAATTACATAGTTGACTTTGATTGTTGTAACAATACTGTACTACAATACTTTAGAAAGTAACCACTTCTCCCAAAAATCAGTATTGAAAGCCTAATCTCGGTATACTAAACATTGCAATTCTGAAGGTATATTCAAATAGATTATAACTATCATAGTTATGTTGATGAAACTAAAGATGACCAGTGAACACAAGTTGTTTTATAAACATAAATTCCTAACATTTTAAATGCAGATTTTTTTACTTTATTTTTTATATAGCAGGAATGATATACATTAATCAGCTCAAAGTGGTTGGTGTAGTGTAGCAGGTAACACCTCTGCTTTCTACGCTGTAGGCTGGGGTTCAAACCCCACCTTGGTAATCACCCTACACTATACCAATAAGAGTCCTTGGGCAAGACTCCTAACACTACTTTCACCTACCTGTGTAAAATGATCAAATTGTAAGTCGCTCTGGATAAGAGTGTCTGCCAAATGCCGTAAATGTAATGTAAGCTCAAAGGTAAATGTTCTAGTGTTAGCCAACTGGCTAATTTTCAGCTGTAGGCCCTGAAGCCCAATTTCCTGAGCCAACTTCACACTGCTGATGATGTACATTAAGTTATATTTTTATCTGGGTAATTTGAGATGTAGAAGGCTTTAAAATGAAAATGAGATGCATTTTACATCTCAACTTCAGTGCAAAACATTTTCAGTTTTGTACATTTAAATCAAAAAGTAGTTGGAGACCCATTGTTACAAGCCTCATTTTTTAATGAACTGAATTGAAATCTTAAATATGGTTAAAAACATTTGGAGGTTCATTCATGTGGATGAGTTCTGGCAAAATAATCATATCTTTGGCCCATGTGTGGTCAGTAAAAATACTGCAGGTAAGAATAGCTATGAAAATAAAATTCTTTTGTGTTATTCAAAATCCTGCCCTTACAAGGGAAAATCTGGCAACCACTTAATCTGACATGCACTGGGCTGTTCCTCTACCTGTAGCACTGCAAATCAGATATCAGTTCGAGCCTAATATGGTTTCTGAGAGGAGAAAATAATAACTGACAAAAATTGTAAGAGCTGGCTGTGGGAATTTTAAAAGAACCTGTGCGAATTTGGAAACGATCCTGCGCTGCACTTTTGGCTCAAATTTATTGAAACTTCTTACAAAACTAAACAAAAAGTTATCCAGCACTGCTGTCGCACTACAGAATATTTACTATGAATATACCGCAATATTCAGATTAAAGATAAAGATTTATTCAAAACCTTCATCACCCATGTGAAATAGTAATTGCCTTCTAAACCTAATAAATAGTTGTGCTAATCTTTGCAGTAACAGTTTGAGATAACTTGTGACGAGTGTTCTGCATCACTGTGGAGGAATTTTGGCTCACTCTTCTTTGCAGGATTGTTTTAATTCTGCTACATAGGAAGGTTTTCAAGCATGAGCTGCCTGTTTAGGGTCTTATCACAGCATCTCAATGGGATTCAAGTCAGGACTTTGACTCTGCCACTCCAAAGTTTTGTTACTTTTGAACCATTCAGAGCTGGACTTCGAATCATTGTTAGGCTGCATAACCCAACTGCACTTGAGCTTTAGGTCACAAACTAATAGGCGGACATTCGCCTTCAGGATTTTCTGATAGAGAGCAGAATTCATGATTCCATCAGTTATGACAAGTCGTCTAGGTCCTGCAGAAGCAAAGCAGTCCCAGACCATCACACTACCACCACCATGTTTGACGTGGAAGGTGGTGTCAGCCTTACGCCAGATGTAAAAGACCAATGTCTTCCAAAAAGTTCAATCTTTGACTCATTAGTCCACAGAGTAATATTGTAAAGTCTTGGGGGTCACCTGGGTTTTTTTTTTGGCAAATGCAAAACATGCCTGTGTTCTTTATGGTCAGAAGTGGTTTACGCCTTGCAACTCCACCATGGATGCCATTTTTGAACAGTTGCCTGTCTTGTTGTACAATCATGTACATTGATGTTAACTGAGGCAGGTGAGGCTTGCAGTTCTTTCGATGTCCGTCTGGATTCTTTTGTGACCTGGGTGACTTGTTGATGCACTCTTGGTGAAATTTTGGCAGGCTGGCCAGTCCTGGGAAGGTTCACCACTGTTCCAAGTTTTCTGCTTTTGTGAATAATGGCTCCCACTGTGGTTTGCTGGAGTCCCAGAGCTTTAGCAATGGCTTTGTAACAATTTCCAGACTGCTAACTGCTAGATTTAATTGACTTTGTTTCGCATCTGTATTTGAATCTCTTTAGAACATGGCATCATGTGCTGCTTTTTGAGATCTAGCCATCTAGCCTGTTTCACACTGCCAGGCAGGTTCTGTTTAAGTGATGTTTAGATTCAACAAGTCTGGCAGTAATCATGGCTGGGTATGGCTAGTAAATTTAAACCCAATAGTCAATTGAATTTGGTTAATTGGTTGATTTAGTAGCTAAGCTAAGGAGTAATTACTCTTTCACATAAGGCCAGGTAGGGCTGAAGAGCATTTTTTCTTCAATAAACGAAATCATCATTTTAAAACAGCATTTTGTGTTTACTTGGGTTATCTTTGTCTAATATTAAAAGTAGTTTAATGATCTGAAACATTCAAGTGTGACAAATATACAAAAATAGAAAATACTTTCTCACAGCACGGCGTTGCGAGATGAAGTAGGCTTGCTGGTGGTTTTGAATAGTAAATAAAAAGGCTATATTTGGGTTGTACATATCGTAACTCCTGTCTCCTATCACCACCGCTGTGGAGAAATATGTACTAGTATGTTTTTATATATAATGCACCATTTCACATCGAAACACTCCAGATGACTTTGTTCAAATTTCATCGTCCGACTGCAGAAATGTTGAAAAACTGGTGGAATTCCCTTTTAAACCAATGCAACTTCCAAATACTCTCATTGCCGGTCTGTCAGCTGAGCGATACATGACGAAACGTCACACAGACTGAGCTTCAGTATCCTTATAACATCAACGTTACTCATTACATAAATCACCATTTATTACAAAAGTAGCCATAATTTTAATTTACTTTACTGGCGTAGGACACAGTCATAAACGGGGAGCCTGTAAATCAGAGCCAAAGAGAGCTTTAACTTCAGCGGCGAACGCCGGAGCAACCCCAGTCTCTCTGAGGAGAGCGTGACGTCACCACGCGCTGGTCTGGTCAACAACCCGTCCGTTGTGAGGAGAGAGAGAGAAAAAGAGAGAGAGAGAGAGAGAGAGAGAGACGGCGGAAAAACACCACGTAGCAGGATACTGAGGGACAGTGGAAGCGAGGAGCAGCCGAGGCCGTTCTCCCTTAAACCTTACAACTGTTGACGGCGATATACGAGGAGCTGTCGGGAGGTCGAAATCTAGGGCACGTCAGCGGGAAGGCAGGGAAAGGGAAAGGAGGGAAAATGGAGCTGGAGGACGGTGTGGTGTACCAGGACGACACGGGCACGTCGGCTATGATGTCCGACAGGGTGTCGGGCCTGGCCAGCTCCATCTACCGCGAGTTCGAGCGGCTCATCGGCAAGTACGACGAGGACGTGGTGAAGGAGCTGATGCCGCTAGTCGTGGCCGTGCTGGAGAACCTGGACTCCGTGTTCGCGGAGAACCAGGAGCACGAGGTGGAGCTCGAGCTGCTTAAAGAGGACAACGAACAGCTCATCACGCAGTACGAGCGGGAAAAAGCGCTGAGGAAACACGCCGAGGAGGTGAGCAGGCTAGGCTAGCCAGCATCCCTTTCTTAGCACCCCAGTGATGCTGCTTCCAACAGCAGCCTGAGAACAGCTCGGTCTCATTGTTGCTGCAGCTGCCACCGCCCCGACCCAGGCCCTTGGGGGGTATTTTACACAGCAGCTAGCCAGAGGACTAAAAGGAAAGGTTCACAAAAAAAAAACCCAACAACAACACACATTCACTTTTTTTTGCCTCACTCCAAATGTAGTCAAACAGCTAACACTGTTTGGAAGTTTGCTAAGCTAACATAAAAGAAATGTGTCACTGAATAAGATATTGAGTGTCACAGACTGACATTAGTTTTTGGCTAAATAAACTCTTATCTTTGGGGTCAGTTTGACCCCATTCAACGTTAAACATCTCGAAATGAATGACTGACATCATTTTTGGCAAAGAAACAAAGTACCTGACGCATTGGATAGCAGTTTTAATCCCAGTTATTTTTTGGAGGTTTACATTGCTGTTGCTGGTCAGTCCTCACTTTGGATTTAAGTTATCCAGTTTACTGAGACAGATTGGTTTACGAAATCCCCGCTTGCTCCTGGATGGCCCCGGACCTTCACAGGCCTTTTAAAAGAAGACAGTTAGAGACTGTTTGAGGTTCAGTGCTCTTGAGTTGGTCTTTCTCTTTTGCACCCCATTGTGCTGAGATGCACCATCATTAATGTCTTGTTAGGGCTAGACTTCGCACTGGGCAAGGAATCAGTTGGTAAACACTGATAATGTGGTATCATCAGACAGCTGTTGCCACTTTCGGGTAAACAAACATTCTGTGCCTCATGCTGTCGTCGCTATGCACAGCTTAAGTGAGAGAGATTGTTGATGTCTGAGTACTGAGCGACTTCCACCATTCAAGCCTAACTAGGCTACAGTCAGAGCCATGCGGAGGATAAAATGCAACCTCTCTAGCATCACTCCATGTGATGACTTTCTATATATTCCGCCAGAACAGGTTTTGTGTCGTTAGTAGGTTTATTCGTTGTGCAATCTGGCATTAAAAACCTTGACATAGTGTTCCTTGGAAGCAGAATCAATGTTTTTTCATGTAAAGACTCTACGAGGTTTCTGTCACTTCTAAGTACCATTTTATAATGCTTTTATATACACTTTTAAAAATAAAGGTGTCAAAGAGTGCTCTTTGCACACTGCTGTAGAAGAACCACTTTTGGTTCTCTATAAAAGACTTTCTTTAGAGAAGTGGTTCTTAAACAGGTCCTCAGGCCCAACAGATGGCCCACATTTTCACTCCAACCCATCCCACAACAATCCCTGAGGACCGATTTGAGAACCACTGCTTTAGAGAACCATTTTGTAAATGATATGTGTGAAGTGTAAAGAACCTTCACATAATGTAAAGGTACTAGGAAGAACTAAAAACTGGTAAAGAATCTTTGTATTATGTAAAGGTTCTCCACACACACTCACTTTTTCAAACATGATCCTTTAAGGAATCAAAAGTGGTTCTTCTGTGACATCACTGAAAGAACTCTTTGTGATATCTTAATTTTTACTGTAGGAAAACTTGACCAAGATTAGGTAAATGGTCTCTGGACTGATTACGATTTTTTGGCATTGTCACAACATTAATGACTAAATATACTATGTGTGCAATGTTTGTAATGATACATCAGCTGCAATCAGTTGGATTCAGATTCAGTGAGTAAAAATGCATTCATACATTGTTGTAAAGGTGTATTATTATGTTATATATTATATATGTATCTCCTGTACTTTATATTGTAGTTGTACAAAAATTCTTACACTTGTACTGTATTCAGTTCTTCCCAATAGCCAAGTGACCTCTACCTTAGTTTTGTTGATGGGGTCATGCCAGAGAGGGGATATATGCTCAAATTTGTTTAGGAAAAGGGAGATTAATGGCAGTTGATAAGCATGGTTCAGTTCTCCATGTGTATTTACAACATAAGCCCTTCTTTTGACAGCTTAAGTCTGCTCAGTAGCTTTATCCATTACTGACACTGAACTGGGATTATGTGCAATATGGCTGTCACATTCTCCAGTTAAGCCAGAGGTTTTTGCTCAGTCACAGTGTCTTTTGTGCTTATAAAGGGGCAACTTTTCCCACCCAAGTGCTCACTTTCTTTGTTATAAGGTAATGTGCAGTTTTTGCTTTTTACAGATGACATGAGCTCACTGTTATATAATTAGGAAGTCCATGTGCTTTCCCTTTTGTCTGAAGTGTCATTGTAGTGCGCCAGTCAAGTGTTATAGCAGCCTTTAGGCTCTTTGACTGGCTAATGTGGGAAAGCGAGAGGACTTGCAGGAGCTAAATGCTAGCTTATCATGGCTTTTCCTGTGGGAGCCACATGGCAGAGGTTTGAGTGGGGAGTCCAGGATAACGTAGGCGGGCCTGCGTGACTCAGCACTCCGAATGTCTTTACTGTGTCAGTGTCCCCAACTTCAATCAGAGCAGTTCCTCATAGCACTGCCACATCACTCAGTGGGGCAGCAGGCTGTTTTCCATTGCAAATTGAGCTGGACAGAGCTGTTTTAGTTTGTCCCTTTTAGGTGATTATAGGTTTTAGTCTTCATTGTGTACTAGGCCTTACTTAGAATGAGTTACATAAATAATGCAGAAATAACATCAAAGCACAGAGTGAATGTGGGGTCGTATTTTGAATTGACTGAAAAATAGCATTCCTGTCTCTGACTAATTTCAGGTTGATGGCCAGTGTGTTCCAGTGTTAAAAGCACCTTAAAATGTTTAGGTTAATTTTTAAGATTCTAAAGTCGTATTGGACAAAGATGCCCATAAGATTTTTTTGGTGCAATGCCACATTTGAAACTATGATGTTATATGTTAAAAGTGAACCTAAAGGGAAAAAATACAAGAAAATATAGGATATGGGCCTCATGACGTTTAAAGGATCTCTATATAATGTAAAACCTTTATACCAATTTGTTTTCCAAATGTACATCCAAGCCAAGAACGATTTAGAAACCTTTATGTTTAAGAGTGTACACAGACACTTAAACAGGGCAAACACTTACCCGTGGCCTAAAAAGAACTCAACTTAAAAACACTCTGACCCAGTCCCTAGCAAGACTACATCATTAACTCCACGAAGCTTGTGTAATGATAAGGCTGTCATTTGGAAACCATTGCAAAAGCTAGTGGTTAACACAAACAATCTGGCTTGGTGTAATGACATAAAAGTGTATGTGGTCTTGTAGAGCAAAGGAAGCAATGAGTTTTTCTTTGGAAAGAACTTAAAAAAACCTTCAACTAGGGTTTGGCAGTATAACAGTAGTGATGTATACCGTGGTATTTAAATTTCATGGTTTCAAAATGATGACAGTGTTAAATACCTAATAAGCAGCCAAATAAACAAATAAACACCTATGTATGATTTGGGGGGAGGGCTTGACTCATATCCGAGTCTGTATCCCCTGAATGTGTGTCATTTGAGCATCACTTAACTAAAACTAAGCCTTTACTGTGATGCGGGACACTTTTGGTCCACTAACTAAGCTAATCTAGCAGGTTTTTGCTTAAAACACCACAGAATAGGTTCGATCACCAGTCATTTAACTTTGTTCTCTCAGACATGAGTTTTTTGACCAACACGTGTCAGTTGAGCACCAGTTAGCCGGAATAGAGCCTGTAGTGTGCTGTGTGGCACTGATAGGATGTGTAGCTTGTTGTAAACTAGCGTTAGGTAAACTAGTGTTAGGAACGCTAGCATTAGGTGTGTAGCAGGCTACAGACCCAATAACAAGCTAACAGGTTTAATTTCTTGTGTCAGTCAAGACTAACATCTTAGTGGTGCTTCAGTTAGCCAGATTCAAACCTGGCCGAGCAGAGCTGTTATTGTGCTAGTTTAAGCTAGTGCTCACCAGCTCCTCTCTCCTATCAGCAATGTGTGACATGTTTGTTGATGTTTGTTAGATTGATGGTTTGACATTTATTGAATCATGAGTTGAAAATTGTGTACTGCATTCACTTTTTTGTTGATGCGCAAGATAGGATGGCACAAACAGAAATGTAAATGTAGAACCAATCAGCAAACAGCTGTTCTGCTGAGTTAATATCACAGTAATACTTGGAGACTGTTTGGAGAAGGTATGAAAAAGTGGATACCACCTGAGACACATCATGAGTCTAACTTCTGACTGATGCTGTAATACTTTCAGTGATGAGTGATGAGGAATGTTTGTTCATTTGAGGTTGAGCTGTGTCTGTCATCAGTTGGAAGCTACTAAGTTTCGACAGAAGCAAAATAGCTAATCAGCAAAGATGGCCACTCTAGTACTTTAATAGTTGCATAAAATGCACAAAAACAGTCAATTTAATTATTTTGCGCAGGTTTTTATATGGCAGTTAATCATCAGCTTAAAGTTTGTCATTACAACAGGCCTGGAGCAGCATTCCAAAAGTCTTAAGCTTCTCTGAAGACGTGAGAGACTTTGATTCCTTATCACATCCACATCCATCTATTTCCTGAGTTTTTTGTTATTTGGTCTCCTCCCTACATGTTTACAACCGCTAGCTCAGTTTTCTGAATGAAAAACATTGCTGCCAACAGGCCTCCAGTGCTTATGGTACCCTTTGACTTGTATGTGTGTACTTTATGAAGTTGGCTCAAAGCGAATGTGAATGGAAAGTGACACGAACCTTCTGGTTTCCTCAGTTCTGTGCTTGGGGCACCGGCGTAGTTTATTGGTGGCTGCATGACGGGGACCGAAAGTGACATAGAAAGCAGCACCCCGCCAACCTCCACTCTCTCACTGAGCCCGGCTCTCCAGCAGAGCCTCGCACTCCAGACTGACTCAAGCTGGGAGAGCTTCCCAGTAGGGAGTCACGCTGGGATTCTATTACTTCCAGGTCACATGATCCTTTGTTGTGACGGGCAGGGCTGAGAGGCTCCCGTATGCTTGGGTCTCTCCCTCTGGTTTCCTGCTATTGGTGTTACGCCAAAAGGCATCCCCCAGTCTCTTAGCGCTTGGGCTAAGTTCCTGCAAGAATAGTATCTCTACTATTTGTGCCTTAGGCATGGAGCAGAGGGTTTGCATTGAGTATTGAAATGCAGTTAACTAATTATAAACTAAATAAACAAATGAAACACATTAGTGCATTTCCAGTGCTTTCTATTAAAAACCGCAATATAAACAACACTATTTGCTCTTTAAAGGGGAAGACTGGCATACATTTCAAATGAAAGTTGGAATAACAGGAATCTAATAAAGTAAAAGGCAACTGGCTATTTTGCTCAACGAGTCATGCATAATTATGATATTTTGATACTGGTGTAGCAGCAGTTTTAAATATAGTGTGGGTGTGCTTATTTGCCTCATGCTATTTACATCATGAAACTGCAGTTGCACAAATTATATAATAAATTCTACAAATAATACAAATAATAAATTAATAGATTGCTGTTGCGAGTTTGAAAGTCTGGTCTTAGTTCCAATTGTGGATCCCAAAAATTAATAATATTTCATTTGATTGAAACAAGCACAAATGAGATTGTTCATGTTCATATGTTCAGTACAGGCAGCAATAATGTGTGTGATTTCTAACATCAGTAGTTTTGGAGAATCCCCTGGATCAGAATCCTCAGAAGAAAAGAAAAAATGCTGAACAGTGGAGTAGTCCGAGGCAGCTGGCCAGGATGTCCAGTCTTCCCTTCTCCGTTCTGGACGCTCGGTGGCCGTGGGTGGAAACTAGGATTTGAAGCCAAACAATAAGACTGTCAGAGTTGCTCTATCTTGGGCCTTCCACTTACATCCTGTTACTTTTGCCCTGCTTTTTCCTGCTTATGTTGTGTCTGACATTGGACTTGGAAATGAAAATCTGTGTGTTTGTGTATGCGTGGCAGCCAATTTTCTGCTCCCCTTCAGTTTTGCACTATTTTAGCACAATGTCTGCTCCCTTAAAAATGAGAGCTGCTGTTTTTCTGGGACTGAAGTGTCTGTGTCCATAGGCATAAACAGTGTCTGCTCAAGAGGAAAAGGATAGGTATAGCCATTTTTGCTATTCAGATTCTTCACCAAGAAAATATTTTGCAATTTTAATAGAGATTTTTACACAGATTTGAGTGTATGGATATTTTTTCACATTTAGAGTCACATTTGTTTAGCTCCAGCTCCTCAGATAAGTCTGATACTGGATGAGTGGTGTTTTTTTCCTTGATTTCTGCATTGTTTTGAATAAAAAACAAATCTGCAGATGGTTCAAGATTAATTTATTATCTACAGGTACCATTAAGGCTTATCTGTTCAGTATATTTAGTAATTTATTGTTCAGTCGTTGATGATTTATTCAGTAACATGTAAGTTGTGTAGTTATGAGAGTTAGAAATTGACCAAGTGTGGCCCCACATGACTTTTGACTTCAAGGTGGTTAGAAATGACAAATTATATATATGTGTTGCCTGAGTTTTCAATTGGCGCACTTGTGTTTTTAATTACTTCAAAATTATGGCAGACTCAGGAAAACATACTTCACATGTACTTATTAAAGAAGTGGCGAGAGGAAGACATCATGTTCTGAGACGCATAAGCTGGATGCCCGTCCCACTGCCATCTTTTAAAGTTCAAAACATAAACTTCGTCTCCTGTGTAGACCATTTTCTGCTCCCGCCATGCTGAATGTTATAAACTTTCGCTATGACGCGAACGCACATGCGCAGAACGTACTCAAACTTTCCGATTGGGAATGTAATTGGATACTGGCGTTTACTTGACTATTATTCTTCTCTTTAACAGATTAATTAAAGTATTACCCACCTCTTTCATTTGGATAGGAATTGCATTCCGAATGGGCTTGATTGGGCTAGCCTATTCCGATTGAGGTGTATACATGGACGTATTCTATTCTGATTGAGCTCTTAGTCGGATTATTAACAGATGATCAGCCTGCTTGTAAATGTGGCTAATGTCCTAGTTAATCTAATAATCTAAGTTGCCTGGAAAAATATTTCATTGGATTATATTAATTACAACTATCCAAGCGATTTTCATTTTGCCAGCAAAATGGGGCCTGCAGAAGTAGATTAATACTGTTAGCAGTGTTGGCTTACATATTTGACTACTAAACAATCTTGTAATTCAGAGGGATCAGTGATATTAGGCGAAATATGTATACAGAACAAACTAAATTGATACAACACTGGTGTTTAACACAGGGCACATTATCGGCCAGATTTCTGAGAACAATTTTCTTTTTTATAATTGTGTAAAAGTTCATAAATATCTTCCTCAAAGTTCCTTAAATACGCTTGCCACCTCCTTCTCTACTGTAGAAGTCCATTGTTGCTGATTTTTGTGTTATTTGAGAAATAGTCCAGATGCAGTACTTTTAGCTGTGTGTTTCACAGTATACTGTGCTAACCATCCAGAATATCATAATATTGCTGTAAGAGCTAAAGTTCATGCTGTAGCTATGGGGTGTTTGTATAATGCTGAATGTTTGTGTTCTCCATGAGCAGAAGTTCATAGAGTTTGAAGACTCCCAGGAACAGGAGAAGAAGGAGCTGCAGAACAACGTGGAGAGGATGAGCTCTCATACACGCCAACTGGAGCTGAAGATCAAGAACTACACCGACCAGAGTAAGAGCTCATTTGCTATCTTTCTCTCTTATTCCCTCCGCACCTCCATTCCTCACTTTCTCCCAGCTAGGCTTTGTGAACACCTCAAGTGTCCTTCAAAAACTACATTGGTTAGTGCGAAATGAGAGAACTTTTGTCTCTGTCAAACAATATCTGTCTAGCCTTGCTGGTGTGCAGCTTATATATGATACTATCATCATACTGTTAATAGTAACAGTAATAGTAATAGTACCAACAAGTAAATCTAGACATTTGTAGAGTAATAGTGATGTAACAAAATTTCCAGCAATTTTCAGCTGAAAATGGTCAAAAAAGGCACTTCCAGTTTTCAGGCGAAAAAGAAAAAAAAGACCAAAAACTTTTGCCTGAAAAAAACCCGTAAAGGCCTACAGCGAAATGTCAAAATCTAAATAATTTTAGTGATAATGACAGTGGGAAAAAGTGATTAAAACACTGTTTGTGTCAGTGCAGATACATTCAGTCTGTGCAGCAGCAGATCAGCACTGAATGTGTTGCCCTGTGTAACAATTTCCCAGTTTCTGTGAGGGACATTAGATAAAAGATTTGTATTCATTGTTTATGCTGAGTAACAGGAGGGGGTAAAACACTTAACAGTTTCACCACTACAGTTTTAATACCTCTTGAAAACACACTGTCCTGATCGAGAAGCAGATTTACAGCACAACAGAAGCAGAAAGAAAAGTCCCTGCTAGTGCGGCGACACTCCATCTGTAGCTGCATCTTTTGAAATAAGGAAAAATATCACAAATGACAACCAAAGTACAAAGTATAACTAAAAAATAGAATTTGTGGCCTTGGATGATGACCAACTATTCTCTGTTGTCAAGGATGTTGGGTTTTATGGTACATACTGTAGCAGAGTGCTTTCAGTCCTGTCCTGGGGGCCCACTGTTCGGTACAGTTTCAGCTATTCTCTGCCACAACAAACCTGATCAGGTAATTAGCTGGTCAGGTAATTATATTAATGAGCTGTATTAGGTGTGCTGGGGGCAGAAGGTGTGCAGAGCACTGGGTCCCTAGGACTGGAGCTCAAAACAACTACTGTAGCATACACAATGTAATAATTTAAGCTTATTTTATGTAAGCTGTTTCTTTGGTTTTTGTCTGTTTGGTTTTATTTTCAGCCAAGAATATTCATTTTGGTGCATCATGAATTGTAGTGTGTCATTACATGCAAAGTTTGTAGTACAAGGAGATTAATACTGGCTATTATATAAGAGAAGTGTGAATTTGCTGTTTGTAATTATAGGAGTAAAGTATTTGTACATATATGATAACTTTGTAATTTCGATTCTTGCAGTTAAGACTAGATTTATCATTCTTATTTATTCATATTATTCAAATTACAAGAACTGCAGTTTTTGTTATAGCCTACATTATTAACCACATTTTCTTATCAAGTTCAAAGTGGGGAAATTGAGCCTAAGAACACTGCCTGTAGATGAGTTTGACCATTTAGAAGCAACCAAATGCCCATGTGCTGTGACATCACAGCCACAACTAACTGACAGTCTGGTGAACTACGTGCAGTGTTCAAGCCCTAAAGCCAGAAACAGTGGATATTCTGGTCTTTTTGGCCAAAAAACAGGCCTAAGTTTATAGAAAATAATCGCAATGTAAATTGTTGTTACTGTATTATTGCTTTAAAAAATCACAAGTAGACATTTCGCCCAAATTGTTCAGCCCTACTGCCATTGGTGAAGGCTTCTACTCCTCTCTCTCTCTCTTCCTCTCTCTCCTTTTCTATGTCACTCACTCACTCCTAACCTTTCCACATGAGCATTGTGCAGCTGCTTATTGTAGGCAATGACCTCATTTTAGTCACACCACTCCACAAATACCACTTACTTCCTCCCACTGAGTGCTCAAATGTAAAAAAAAATGTAAGGAGAAATTTCACTATAATTGAAACATCCATTTCCCGTCTTCCCCAGCTAATAAATATTTATATACTCGTTTTTTGGTGGTGTGACGTATGGTGGTTTGCAGTGTGATTCACAGGCTTAGGCTGATTTTAATTGGATTATTGGATTACTGTTATACCCTCCCTCTTTTGCCTGCACCATCTTAACACGACTCTGTTGGTGGATTAAGCCGTGAGAATCACTTTTTGTTGTATGGTGGTGCATTTGGGACATGAAGAATTGACAAGCTCTCTTTATATGAAGGCTTACACTCACAGACACTCTGTAGTGCACACATGGAAATTGTGGTTGAAAGCAAAGTAGTCATGTGCTTCAAACTCTAGTAAATGGTGAATGATTCACAAGAGCTGCATGCTGCTTAAAAATATTTCCCACTGAGGTCATAGTCCAGTTTTGCTGAGAGCAAATTAGGGCTTCTCTTAACATCATGCTCTTAAAGAGCCACTGGGGCCAGGAGCAAACAAACAAACAAATGATATCATAAGAATTGTGCTATGTGTCTCACAAGGAGTCCAATAAGCAAAGATCTAGCAGGTTTGACTAGTGTGGGAACAGTATCTGGGAATATAAAATATCAACTTTTCTATTAATGATAACTGGATGGATGTTTTAATGGTGATAATATCATAATAATAACACAGTTATTATTGTTATTGTTAGTGATTACATCTGTGTCTGAATTACTGCTGTGAATTATAAACATAAATTGCCGTTTAAGCGAAATTAATTTAAATATGCTCTGCATTGATCAGAGTGGACTCTTTACTTGTACTAAAATGTAACTAAGCTACACAGCTAATCTAACATTTTGACACTCACCAAGGCCCAGTCCCATTTCTTATTTTTACCTCTACCCCTTGTTTTTGAGTGTCGCCTTGCCCCTTGGAACTGAGGGGTAGTTTTTGAAATCTTCCCCCTATGAAATGGAACAACCCTCAAATAAAAAAGAACATTACTTCATTAACAGGCTGCTGGTGGTGCTTTGTAGGCAACCCTGCTAGTCTGCAGTGATAGCAGAGGAGGGTGAAGTTCAGCAAACTAGCAGCCTCACTGCTGGGCTTTAATTACATTTACGGAATCATATGCCTTCAAAGTGGGTGGGGGGGGTGGTGCAACAGTTATTTATTATCACCCACTCCTAACTCTATGGTGATATGAAGCTAAAGTCAGCTATTCGCTGTGTTTCTTGTTTGAATTTTCCCATTCTGCCTTAAATGGTTTTCATGTCTACCGAGACATCAGCATACTACGATTTTTTTTCTTGTTATGACGAAAACTACCATAATACATTGAAACAACATTAAACTAAGATAATACAATGGTTATTGTATTTTTTTAACAGAGAAAACTAGCGTTTGTGGGTTTCTTTGGTTGCTTGTTCAGCCATCTTGCCGTTTTTTTTCATAACACTCTGTTTGGAGTGTGTCTCTGAAAAACCTCCGTTTGGAGGGCCATGTAGCCCTAACACTTCGCCCTACCCCTCTATCACAACAAAAATCGGGACACACTACCCCTAAACGTGAACACGCAAAACAGAGGGGTAAGGGCTAAGTGGTAGGAGCAAGGGGTGAAATGGGATTGGGCCAAAGACTATCTATACACAACATCACTAATGAGATTCAATGTGAAACAAACTTTATCATACTAGGCTAACTTACTTATTTAGCAAATCTTAACATGCCATTAGTAGCTTTCTTATTCAAAACTTAACATCTTGCAAAAAATCCATATGTGCAGTCTTATGCTGAAGTTTGAACACCCCAGTTTAATTACATGTTTTCTTAATTTCCTAAGCGAAAATAAGTAAACACATCTTCTACAGGGAACAAACTTAAAAATGACATTAGTGCACAGTTCTATTTATTTGCTGATTTTAATGTTAGAAAAAAATAAAACAATGTTATTCTCATGAAACTGTCTCAAAACATAAAGGCCATAAATAATTTAATGTCACAAACATGATATGGAAAAACAATATTTATATCATTTAGTAAGAGTTTGTAGATTTTTCTATTTTACATTTGTCGCAGACTGTTTGAATGTGAACTAAAACAACTAAATGTTTTGTGGCAAAAGTAAAAAGAAAACCTCTGTTGCTGCCAGCATGTAGCAGTAACAAGATAAAAGTTGGGCCAGTTGGGCAATTTTTTGACAGTATTGGGAGAAAGTGTGTTCAAAAGAGAAGTAGCGTGTAGGGTTATGTAGAGTAATATTAACCAGAAAGTGCAATTTTCTATTCACTACTCAAAAAATATTATATGTAAAACATCAGTCTAACAGTAACAGTTGCTAAAAGTTAAACAGTCTTATCTAGGACTGTTGAATGATGCTGGTTGCTGTAGCATAGTGGATAAGACCACTGCCTAGCACCTTTAAGACTGGGGTTTGATTGCTTGTCTGGGTAAAAAAAGGAATTTGCACGCTTTTTTTAATAGTTTTTGTTTTAACAATACAGTTTGTCAATTTGAACTTTTTTAATTTTTAATTTAAGAGAGTTTAAATCAAGAGAGTGTGTTTTGTTTTTTACATTTCTAAGTGATTGAGTACTGTGGATTAATACTGTCTTAAATAAATAAAAAAAAGAACAGGGACAGTAACCCCCTGACGAGAGAGTGTTGTTGGTGAGAATGAACTCAAGTACAGCTTTGAAAAAAGCTTGGTGAAATATAGGGCCGAATCAGTATCATGTAATAGTATAAAATAGCATGTAAGTGTAAATAGCTGATGTTGATAGAATGATGATAGAATGATGTTACTATGAACAATAATGTAAATAGAAATATCATAGTGTACATAGCAACTTAATTTTATTAACACTTAGTGTAAATAGCATCTGCCCTAAAATTGCTAACTATATATACGTTTGAATAATTAGCTTAGAATACTTAGTCTGACAACAGTATACAGATTGTGAAAAGAAAAGTTTGATTTACAGGTTTATTGTTAATCCTTACTGTTTTATGGTTATGAGAGTTTGGTAATATAAATTGGAAAATGTTACCAAAAATGAATTTAATATCAATTAAATTATTCAGGTCTATATTTAATTATTTAACCAGGTGTCTTTGTTTGTATATCCAGAAAACACACACACACACACACACACATCATCATCTAAACCGCTTATCCTTCCGGGTCGCGGTGGGGTGCTGGAGCCTATCCCAGCTGTCTATCCAGAAAACAAAGTTTTAGTCATTTTAATTTTTTCTGCATTTACCATGTTCATGAGAATAATCCATATAAACCTTGTATAGACTATGTACTATATATATATCTTATATATATTTTGTCTATTCTTAGTTTAAAGATTTTATAAAGTGAGAAATATCCACTTTTTCCTGTTATAGGCCTTTTAATGAAGCTCCAAGATCCAGTGATGCCAGCTGCAGAATATTATCCGTCTGATTTTGAAACGAGGGATTTAGAAAGCTGTCTGTTATAGACAGAATCCTGGCCTGCTGCTCCACCTCGAGGCTAGAGTCGGCATGGGGCCACAGATTTGTTCACCCCATTCATATGCAAGCCAATGGAGGGCACCTCCTTGCATCACGCTGACACATGTAGTCAATCTGCCTGCACACTGCAGGGCTGTGTGCTCATGATTCTTATCGCCCAGGATTTTTTAGATACCATATAAAATTAGAAGTATGGTCTCTGGATCAGCTTAACTTTTCAGTGCACAAAGAGTTATATCAGTATGAACAGAAGGGAAGTCTAATCCTGGATTAGTGCTCGTTCCTGCCTAATCTTTTAGAGTACAGTTTTTTTTTTTGGTAGCATGAAAATGGTAAGAGATGTTACCTGAAACTGAAAGTTGAATTAGTCATTGAAAGTTATTAGTCAAGTAATTAGAAGAGAATTAACACTACTCTGCGAGGAAATCCCCTGGGGTAAAATGCTGGCATGTTATTCAGTCATGGTTGCATTAATGTGCTAATAAGTCATTCATATGGACATGACCAGTCTCCAGGCCTTTTTGCATTCAAATGAAGGGGTTTCTGTGATTGTAGCCCTGCAGCTCCTGAAGTGGAGTCTATTTGTGGCTGGAGCACATTCGCATCACAAGTGTAAACACATTCTGGATTCAGATTCAGATTACTGCATGTCAGAGAGGATGTTTAAACCTGCGGCCTGCTTGAGAACACAAAAGCTGCTATTTTGTGTCCAGTGCCAGTAGAGGAGTGTGTTTTTTGGTGTTATTGTTTTTAGGGTTTATGATGTATCAATTCATTGAGGTGGTCCATTATCGTCCTTTGCTGATTGGTTTTAGTGAGAGAGAATCAGAGTTGCAGATGTTAGTGTCCCATCTAAGTTGATATACTTGCCCTTTCTGTGTAGAAATTCTAATTATACAGCTAAAAGATAAAGCTACAATTACACAGCAGGAATCTGGGGAGGTTACATAACACAACATTAATAATAAAACACTGTTTGGGAAGGTTATGTAATACAACAGAACACTGTTTGAGGACTATACGGGCATTTTGTGAGTGGTGTTAAACAGTAGCCCAATAAGGCTGTATGCTGAAACATTTCTGTGCTGCTGTAAGACCATCAAAATCTATGTTTTTTGAACCCAGGACTTTATAAGCTATTTTACAATGTGGACAACCTGTTATTATCTCTCATCAAAATGTAGCAGCCGAATTAGCATCAGCGAGGCTATGTTATTGCAACAAATAGCTGGGCTGTGGAGTTCAGTTCAAATTTGGTACGCCACTTCCACAATAAGCCACTTCCAACCAACCAATATTTGAAACTCTGGTCCAGCTGTATTCAGCTCTGGCAGTTTAATCCTGGTGTCCAGCACAGTTTAAAACTTGCCCTACTTGGAACACCTACCAAACCTGGCAATTAACAGATAAGTTGAAGTGCATTTGAGCATCGAGCAAAGAAATCACCAAACTGTGCTGGACGCTGGTCCTCCAGGTCAGACCACCTTTGGAGACGGTCAGGACCGCATATCATTTGTAGTGTGAACTTTGAAACGCTTCAGTTCATCCCTGATAACAATGAAGGACCACCTTAATCAACTAAGTCATCAGTGAAGAGAAGAAAGCAGCAGCGTAGCTTGTTTTATCTCTTCTCCAATTTGTTTATATGTTACATTAAGCTGTGCTACAGGACTTTTATCCCAACATTAGACTCGATTCTCAAGTCTTGACCAATCTGTGCTGGTTGGCTGTAGTCTAGATAGTCTAGAAAATCGAGTTGTGTTTGAGGGGCACAGACACTCTGATTTTTTGCCTCCCGAATGATGTTTTTGACCCGACTCTGAGTGTGGTCTAGTAGTGTGCATCGTTAAGGGGCCCAGTCTGAATGGATTCCCCCAAAAGCCAATGAAAAACTGAGAGTGCGAAAGAAGTAAACACAGCAAATCCATAAAGAGAAGTGCCATTCACATGTGTAGCAAAGCTTTTTCATGAACTGAGTTTGAGGTGTGAGCAAAGTTGAGCATGTACTGTTATATGCAAAGTATTGCTCGCCCTTGGTCAATTTACATGTTGATTTTCAAAGTAAAAATAAGTTTACACATCCTCTACAGAGAACAAACTTCTACACATTTTAAAGCACAGCTGTTTATTTGCTGAATTTATTATTTGCTGAAAAATTACCTGTGCAAAAGTTATGGCACATTTTTATTATGTTTAAATGTTTTATAATATGTTAAACAGAAATTGCACACTAATATTTGCAGAAAAATGGTAAATTTAAGTTTGTTCCTTGTAGATGATGTGATAGCTTATTTTCACTTATAGAGTCAACAAAACATTCATTCAAAATTTTGCATATGACTGTACATCTAAAACTCTAAAAACTACCACACTGACGACATCTTTACATCCACAGCCTCACCTAAATATGAGGGAACGTGTGATATATCCTTCTAAAAAAAGTCTGTGAAGACGTCAAAAATCGTCTATTGTGGTTACTATTCTACTATGATATTGTCTTCCTTGAGCAGACAACTGCAATAATAAACAAAACTAAATCAGCTACAGTATTGGCATAGGATACAATTAAATAAGCTCCTGAGGGTTTAGTACTAGCCCATTAGACGTGATACCTGTAAAACACACCCTGTACTTATTTTCTTGTTTGGTGTGACAGTGTTTAAATTTGCACTTGTGTTGAGTGTAATCTTGACTGTACTTATCCATGTTTGTCTGCACTGAACAGTAATGTAAGTTACACATATGTGTTAAAAACATAAAAAATAATCACAAAAAGTTGTGTAGTGTGTCCAAGGCTTTAGAAGACCATGCAGTTTAAACATTTGAAAAAGCTTGTACATTTAAACGAACTCATGACTCATTACCAGAGTAGAGTAGCCTAAACCTATGCTCAAGTAAAAATATTAATACTTGCTAAAATGGCTAAAATGTACCTGAGCAAAATTAGATTCCTTTACTCGCTCATATATTTGAGTAGAAGTATTACATAAAAGTATTAAAGTATTATGATTTGAAAATATTTAGGAGAATGCAAATCCATCAGCATTGTACTTAAGCACACGTACTTAAATGTGTAATGTAATTATCTACTATTGCCTCTGCTCAAGACACATTTTTATCTGACATCAAATGCAACAAAAAACTGACATAGTAAATGTGTGCTGCATGCTTCCCTCACCAAATCTGATCTTGAGTGGTCACTGGAGATGCATTCGAGACTCAGGGAAATGTTGATTGTTAACAGCTGTATATATCGCTCTAGGTCAGCCTTCCCCAGCACCCTCACATAATCCTCTGTCCATGAGACTGTGTGGTCACCCAGTAACTAAATTCGGCAGTGCTACATAAGCTGGAACAGAGGCCCTTCAGCCATTTTGGCATGTCCTTTCTAATGGGTACTGGCATGATTAGCCTCATTATTCTGACCCCATTTTATTTCCAGGCTCCATATCTGTGCTTCCATAAAACATCCTGTGTGTGATATGAGGTCATTCAGCTGCTAAATATAGTATGCTACTTTTGAGAGCGCCATAATATTAAAAAATACGAACCCTTCTGCATTCTGTGCTTTTTTGTCATGAACTGAATATTTGAAATATTTACATGGTTTCAAATGATTTTCTGGCTTCTCATTATTAATGTAGATGATGCCAATTGAGAGATGGAATTCTAAATTGGATGATTCTCACTGTCTTTCTCTGTCATAGTAAGCCGTTTGGAGGAGCGGGAGGCAGAACTCAAGAAAGAATATAACTCTCTTCATCAGCGACACACAGAGGTAACACCAGCACCCTCAGTGTTGTTCATACAGCTGTTCTCTGAAGATTTTTATCCTTAAGAGTAGAGAAATCCCTGTTCAATAAAAAGGCCTTTGAATATATTTTGAAACAGCGCAGTGTCACAGATGTGAAGCACCACTCTTACATAGCAGCCTTGTGCTCTGTCAGTGCTCATCTCCAAAGCCAAGCTCAATGACAATATTTGGGTTGAATACCATCTTTCTTCATATGGAAGTTGTTGGGATGTAATGGATGTACAGTAATGTGCATATGTAAAGCTATTTATGAAGACAGTGAGCATTTATTTGCTAAAAACATTAACATTAGAATAAATACAAATAAATAAACAATACATTCTGATTTGATGTGTGTTAGCTTAACATTTTCTGTACATCTTCTTGAGGAAGTCCAGTATTTACAGTTAACGTTCTGTACCTGCTTCAGCTAAGCAGTTCTTTATTAAATTAGGTGAGGTGCTGATGAAATTTAATTTGTTAAATTTCATCTTATGGTTATGGTTATGCATCAGGAGCCACACTTGCAAACAGTAACAACACATTGCATGGCTAAATGTTAAATATGGAGCCAAAAAAGAAAACAAAAAATACGAGAGTGGATGAGGGAGGAGACTTCACGTCTCGTTTCAGCGTGGGGGATGCCCGTCATCAACAGCAATTCTAAATGCTTGTTTGTATGGGAGGGAATATACACTGAAAAGGGTTGTGGATTTCAGTAATCTTGCCATGAATTTGAGAATTAGGGGTTAAATCAAGCTCCATTTTAGCTGATAGCTTTGTCTTCAAGTTAAAAAATTAAAAAATTGAAAGCATTCTTTTGTTTTACTCAGTTTTGTTATTGTATTACTGTGAGGTTGATTTGAACAGGACTACTATTACTGAGGTTACCATTACTATAGTAATATAAGTTCAGCGACTTATAAGCCCTATTCAAGCTGAATTAGTTTCCCCTGGGGAGGTGCTGTAATTTGAGTGATAACTGATAAGATCCATGATTTTAATCCAGTATGAATTTGCCTTGTCTATAGTTTTTACATGTCTGATAAGTAATAATTCTCAAACAAACTACCTTCGATAATTCATCAAACTCTAATGCTGACGTAAATGTTTGCGCAATGACGTTTTAATCTGTGCTATTTGGGGAATCGGCCAGTCCAATCACACACAAATTACATTACTGGATCTCCTCTGGTTAAACTAATCCAACAGGGCTATAGAAGACAATTCGCTCCAGAATATTTACTTAGCAGATTTGTAAAAACTACAGACATGTTAGATTCATACTGGATTAAAATCATGGATCTCGTCAGTAATCACTCAGATTACACCTCCCTGGGTAAAACTTGTCCAGCTCAAATAGGGCTTTTTCTAACCAAAACAAAACATCCTGATACTTGTTAATGTATTAATGTTTATTTTTATTTATTCAAATGTTGTGTTTTTACAGGCAAAACACACTTCCTGCCAAGATGAATATTTTTAAACAGTGGTTGCTTAAGATTTTTCCACAGAACTATAGTTTCTGGCTATTTCACACATTTCTAATTTTACCCTTACTTTTGGTCTTCAAAGTAAAATCTTACATTTCGCCTCTTGACAAACAAGTTGTGAGAAGGACAGGGTAACACTAAGTTAGCCAGGTAAGCTAGTCAGCTAGCCAGCTAAAAATTGTGCTTTCAGTTAACTCGTAAGTGTACAGCAATTTGTAATCCTCTGGTAGTGTTTGTTTGGGAGTTCTTAGCAGTCATGATTTTTGCAGTCCTTTAATAAGTAACTTTAAGATGGTATTGTTTAAATATATTAAAGGTGATACACACTACAGATGGGCTGCCCAAATGTGGTTCTTGAGGGTATTTGATTTGGCCCGCCAAAAATCTACTCTAAACCCACCCCCTCACCTAGCAAGAGAACAAATATATTTGTATACTATTCACAACTAATTAAATTCTTATTCTTTCAAAATAGTATTTTTGAAGTATTTTAGTAAGAAAATGTAGCGTAATGTTACACAACTACATTTTTATAAATGTAATTTTGGTCCTCGGCCCACCACAAACATTACAGCTTGGACTACAACATTTATTACTTGCATATGTGTAGATAATGGCAACTGTTAATGAAACTGCATGTATGGAAAGCAAAGAGATGCAATACCTAAAACAGAGGTGTTCACATCTGGACCTTTAATTCTGTTTCTGGTTCTGGATTTTGTGATTCACTGAATTCGAGGTTCGAATTTGAAGACCTCTGGTCTAAGAGAAAAAAAACAATAGTGGGGTGCAAAAGTATACATAGTCAGTTTCCATACCAATTGTGTTTATATTATTATCATGTAAATAAAAGTTTTTCAACAGCTTATGTTGTGCAACTAACAGCTTTTTGTAGTGAGTTGTGTTGTGTTGAATTAGCCAGTTCTAATATTTGAAAGCTCAGCCTCACTATACACATGAGCCAGATAAACGTGAGACAGGTGAAAGGACAAGTTACAAGCAATGTTCAGGAGGTGCCTCACATCTAAAAACCGAGCCCATTTGCACCACCTGCTGGACAAAATGCATTACACATTGTGAACTAGTCTTTTCACCTAGACATGGTCATCAACAATGTCTTTTATCAACTATCAGAATTGATGTTTTCTTCCCTCTAGATGATTCACAACTACATGGAACATGTAGAACGCATTAAACTCCAGCAAATAACTGGAGGAGACGCTTCAGATTCTGGAACGCTGGGTCGAGTCAGGTAAGACAAGCTGATAATTGTGAAATAAATTCAGAGTTGATTAAAAGCTGATGAACACATTTATGCTGTTGCATGCATTTAAGAATACATGAAAAAAGAGGAGTACAAAAAGAGACTGAGAGGCAGAGTAGTAGCACACTGGCAGATGCCACAGTGATGTCACAGTGTTATATGCAGATCAGAAGCACATGCTGTATGTGTGAGTGAGAGAGAAAGAGCAGGACAGAGAGAGAGAAAGACAAGGAGAGAGAAAGAGAGAGAGCTGGAAGAGCTTTGAGTAGCCTGTCTGTCTGTTGTGTCTTGCTGAAGCTGTGGACCACAGCTTTATTGTCTGTGTGTGTGTGTGTGTGTGTGTGTCTGTGTGTGTAGTGGTGACCTCAACTGTGCTGGCTTTTACTCTGTATGTTGCTGTTGGACTCTTCTACTGTGTGAAGGTTAAACAATGTCTGCTTCAGTTGTCAGTTCAAAGTTTGGTATCTGAACTTGCGACAGTGTGTTTTACTTGTTTCAAGGAGCAATAAATGAGAAACAATTAAAATTTATGAAAAGGATGAATCAAGGCATATAAGGCTTAAAAGGGAATATTAAACTGTTTTTGATTTCTGCATAATCCAATCTGTGAGATGTCAACAAAGTCATTCTGAGTATTTTGATGGGAAATTATTTAATGTAGATTTCATCCTAAAGGTGGTGTTAAGAGCTAGGGGTTGCAGTGTCTGCAGTTCAAATATAACCATTTTGATGGCTATCCATAACGAGCAGTGAGCGTCCATGTGTCTTCTTGCTTTTATATGTAATGTTGACAATGATAAAATAGTGGTAAATCTGAAATTTTTTTTTGGGTGGGGGGACTGTTTTTCTTAACAAGGGTCTGAAGGTGCCTCCGCCATGAATCGTTCTAAAACCTTATTTCAGAACTGTTGTAAAACAGTGTCTCAGGCATCTTATAAGGTGTTCCTAACCTTTTAATGTAATAATTTTCTGTAAGGTAGCTTTGTTGACTTTTTTATAACTTGACCATTTAATTATGCAGAAATTTTGAAAAACTTGGTGGAATTACTTACTTACACTGTATATGCTTTGACTGTATGCATACTGTATTGCAAGCTTTTCATGTTTTGTACAGAGGTAGTGAGTAACTACCGTTCTACCTTCTAACCAATCTATCTATCTGTGCCAGGAAAGAGCGGCCCCTCTCTCTGGGCATCTTTCCCATGTCTGGTGGAGGCGGGAACAACTCCCTGACCCCAGAAATCCTGGGCCGAGCAGAGACTCCTGGAACAGAAGGCTGGAGATTTAATGACCTCAGCCAGCCGCGATCCAACACCAGCCTCAAGGTAACTCAACCTGCACCCTCAGTGCTGAATGCATCAAGTATATAGACAACACAATGATGCTTGCACAAGAATGGCATATAATAACTACATAGTATTCAAAAACACAGTCTAATGGAGTGCTGCATCCAGTCACAAACCAGCTAGACAGAATTCTAGTTCTGAATGATTGTGATCGCGACAGACTGTTGTAATGAATGCTGTACAAGGGATACGTGCAGAATCTTGAGGAGATGTTAGAAATCGAGTGAATTGAAATACTGGTGTTGATAAAGTGCCAGATGGCCTGGGGTGCTGTGGATCAGAGCAGTGCACTTGGCATTTGTAATGACTTGGCTTTGAAGATGAAGGAGAATAGGAAGAGAGAGGCTGCGCTCTGATGTTTTAGCAGAGCCTGTGACAGAATTAACACACACTCACTCTTTTTAGATTTCCCATCGCCCCCTCATATCAACCACACACTTGGATGCTTATTAGGGCTGTCCCTTTCTCTTTCAAATGTCTGTTAAAAGAAGCACACGCTCACACTGTGGACTGCTTTTATTCTAGCAGTGACACTTATTGCTATATTTATCTATGCAACGTACTTTTGTCCATTTTTATAGATAACACTATGTCATGCATGCATGCAGTTTGCCACATAGCTAATTAGCAGGGTCCAAGTTCATATTTATTGTTGGCTGCATTAGCCTCATAGCTTGAGTGCAAAACTAAAGAAGCAGCCAAACATTTCTCGGCTGATTATGTAATATTGGATGTCCTGTTCTTTTAAAGAAGAATTTCACAGATTTAACAACATTTTTGCATAATACAGTCGTTGAGATGTATACAAAGTCATTCAGAGTGGTTTGATTTTTCTTGATCTTCTTTGCAATGGTGGTGATAGGAACCAGGGGTTGCAACACAAAAGCAACACAAATATAGACAGTTTATTTAATCTCCTAAACCAGCAGTGAGCCTACATGTGTCTTCTGAGTTAGTAGGTTGATAATGGCAAAATAGTAAATCAAAGGTACTGCCACAACCCACTGCATGCTCCCCTCCTCAATGGATATGCATTCTAACACAAAAGCTTTCATCAAAAGTCTGGTAAAACAATGGGGCACCCATCAGACAGTGTAGTTGTAACCATTTCATGTAAATTTGTGTGGTGGAGCTTTTAGAGGGATTAAACTCTTCAGATATCCGGTTCCTTTTGTGGACAATTATAACTCTAGAATAAAGCATTTCACATCAAACCACTCTGAACAACTTTGATTACATCTTAACATGTAAATCATTCAGAAATGTTGAGAAATCAGTGGAATTTCTATTTAATGCTAAACACTGTGCCCAGTATTGACACTGACATGTTCACAAATCCCAGCAATGCCGCTGTGTTGGCCAACTGTGGTCAGGAACTGAGTGATGAATGGGGTTCTGGGCATGTCAGATGGGCTGCAGTCTGTAAGTGTACACCTGTAAAGTGGATCTGTGAGGTAGGAGGACCTCGTAAAGTGACCAGTGAGTGCAAGCACAAGTTGCACTCTTCTAATAAAGTGATTGGTGAGCTGTGCTTTGCTGTTTTAACTGGCAGTGTATCCATTTGAAGGGAAAAGTTTGTACATATGATCATTTATGCATTCAAATATGTTCACCAGCCTGAGGAGAGAGAAAACTGACTTTGCTGTAGCTGGTCAGTGTGAGCTACCATGGCAACATTAAGCAGTACTGACGCAGACAGATTGAGAGCTTAAAACATTGATGTAGGTGCAGATTTAAAGCAGTGGATAGATTTCAGCCAAACCAAACTTGCACTGAATTTTATTAACAAAGAAGTTTTATGAAGTGCCCGCAATGTGGAGTATGTTCTTCAGGCCAGAAGGCTTCTATTGTTGATTGTACTGGTTTGGAATGGAATTAGATCTTCTTTCCTGCTGGCTCACTGATGTATTTAGTAGTCGTAGGAGAGTTTTGAGGACATGCTTGCAGATATAATGGGGATCATGATTGCCTTAAATCCATTAGGTACACAGACTCATTGCTTCAACTGAAGAATGAGTGAAGAAACAAACAATCAAATTAGGGCTGTCACTATCAATTATAGTAGTAATCTATAGATTACTGTCCATTAATGTACAGACTATTTTGACAATTAATCAAGTAATACTTTTTTAATAGGATTAAATAAAGGGAATTGCAAGGGTTCCAGAATTTCCAGAAAAAGATGAGAAAGAAACCATTAAAAAATACTTTATCAATAACCATTATGTACTAAAAATGCATAAAATGTGTGTCCATCAAACTCTGTTTCTTACTGTAAGAGAGACCATAAAAGAGTTTGAAATATACAGTATCTGGGTATCTACAAGAATTAGATTTAATGCACTACAAATCTGTAATGCTCCTCTGAACCTGTAATTTGTAACTTGTCATTGTTGTACATACTATTAAATAGCGGTGTTTATTGCAGAAATATTCACTTTATAAGTAACCTGATTACTAACGCTATGATAATGTGAAATACCAGTAGTGCTTCTGAGGAAATGTAATTTTTGTGTCAGTTCCCACTCAAGGGTTACTACTATTTTCGCCGTCGCTGCATAATAGAAGCAACTTTCAAGTGGTGTAATTTTTACTTTGTATATAACTGTCCAACAGTAAATCAGCCTAACTCAGAATATTGTTGGAGTAGCCTGTTAACCTATTAGCTGTCTGTGGGGCTGTTCAGCCTAACCTAGTTAAACCTTTTATTTCATTTACATTTTTATTTCATATACATGAAATTTGTAACATCAAACGCTTTGTTGTACTTTATATACACACACATTTGTTTTATCCTAAACGTTGACAGCCCTAAATCATATAGCCAAACTGTAAGTATTTCAAATCATGCGACACAGTCACTTTCACTGGCTTTTATGTGTTTGAGCTGTACTTCTGCCTGAATAAGTATCCATTTTCTCCTCCATACAGAAGACTCATGCAAAGGAGTGATCAGAAACAAAAAAGTGACATTTTCATGCAGATTTGTGTAAGAAAATTCAAGCTGTAAACTTCTATATGGAGGCCTGCTGGAGCTTAGAATGCTTTCATATGCATGCCAAGCCTCATACTATGACGTGGCCACTGTCTAACTCGCCAGCATTGCGTCCAACAGCAAAGAAATGAGCGAACGAAAGACAACCTGCTTCATTTGAATTCTCTTCCCTGAGCAGTTGGAGGCGGAGGATCCTCCACAGAAAAACGAGGGTAAAAGCGCGCAGGAGGCTTGGGAGAATTCGCTGGCAGACGACTGCAAGGTAGTTGGCTGTGTGGCGGCCGATAGTGCAGTCCAGTTCACCATTGTGCTCTGATGCTGTGTGCAGCATTTCAACATCCAAACCCCATCGTCTGTAGCCCAGGCTGTATGCAACTGCTGAAGGTTAAGGTGTATTTGCTTAAAGGTCTTCAGTTGGATGTTGTCACAATAAAGATAAAACTGGACAGCATACCCTCCACATAGGTAGGCTATCTAAAGTCCTTAGATCAACAAGCGGTTGCATACAGCTTGTTCATAGTGGTTCACCAAGATTCATCGCATGGCGTTTTAGTTGCACAGTTCCTTCTTTCTGCTTCATTCTTCATTTCAACATTTCTTTCATTAAGGTAGACTAGTATTAATGATCCTACTCGTCATACTATAGTAATGTACTTATTGCTATGATGCTGAATTGTTGTGTTGCTAAAAGTTGGTGTAATTCTGTTTTTTTCCACTGTATTTTCAGAGCTATGTGTAATTCTGAATAGTAGTTATTTGCTTTGTGGGCTCTTGGGTTTTTGTGGGAAAGTAGCTTAATTAGTTTATTTCGCAATTTTTTTTATTACAAGTTCACATGTAATTTTGGCTGTTGGTGTATGTTCTTTGGCTGTTTGTCTGCTCTCTCTATGTGTCCCAGTGAGCTTCATATGTGAGTGATGTCCAATTATTTGTGGTGTTTGGTGCTTTTTGTACCATTTCAGTGTTAGCTTTTGTGTCGTAGTTGAGTTTATATGATGTGTCACCTGTTTGTCTGTTGCTTTCATTTTATGTGTGGCTCTTCTAGGCTAAGTGACTACATTGTTTAGTATTCCTTATTAAAGGGGCTCTCTGGCCAAAAGCAATGTTGCAGTAGTGTCGACAGTGGGATTTTCCAGTTTAAAGACTAGGAAAACACCCCTTTCCATGATGATGTATCTTGAAGGTGGTATTAACTACAGCTAACTAACTTACTTAGTTAGCTGCTTAATTGACTTTGGGACAGCTTTTTGCAAGACCTGCTTAAACGGTAATGAACAGTCCAACAAGCTTCAGTTGCCTTTGTCAATTCTTTTGTCAATTTTAAATCTTGTACAACAATCAGAGTAAGAGTTACATTAATGCTAATGTGGTTGTATTTAGTAGAAGTAGTTCAGTGTCTAGCAGTCAGAATTGGTTGACACCACAGGGATTCCCAGTGGTTATATAATGCGCTTGCTTAATGCATGCTGGGTATTAATGAATGTTAACGAAAGCTTGAAAATGGTATAAAATTTTGAATTCTGTCAAACGGCTGAACCTGAGGGATACAATGCCGTGCAACAGAATACTGTGCAACATGACAAATAACACATTAGATTGTAGTTTTTTGCCAGAATGCCCCTTTAATGATACCTAGCTGTGTCTTTATGTTTAAAAGGTTCAAACAGAATATTTGTTTTTGTATTAGTCCAATTTGAACATTTTATTAATCACAGTAGTCTTTGGCCTAGTATTCAGTTTTCTTGAATAATTTAAACCTGCAGAAGAACCTCGAAAGTTATGTAGCCTCAGTGCAGTCCTTTTCTATGTGCTTGCTTTGTCAGTCCTCAAAAGTTTGTCTGGTGTTCTGTGTTCTTCAGCCTCAGTCTGGGTTGCCTAGCAGGCAGGGTCAAACTGAGGTGCAACCGTGTAGTCATAACGCTTTTACCTGTGATCAGGCAGTGACGTCTGACTCTGGCTGAGCTCTTCATTGAGAGCATGTGCTTGGTCATTTCAGGATGAGCTATCAGGTTCCAGATCCACCACACCCATGTCAACCACAGCCTCTGACCTGGCGCTAGACTCCCACAGGGAGGAGGGCGATGGCTCCAGCAGGAGCACTGAGGTGCAGGCTGCACCAGGCACACGTACAGTCTCTGTGGGTGAGTAACTGTCCAGCCTGATGGAACAACAACAGCTAGTTTGAGGTTTACAGCTTGGATGTGACCTGAGTTCCATTTGTATTAGGGGTTGCGTAAACTAGTCCACTAATATGTCCACTAATTGCCGCTGTGGACAGCTGACTAGGCAAGTTCAGTGCTTGAGATTAAAATATAGCGCCGGCGAAAGTAGAAGTCAGCATGCAGTAGAAGCATCCAAAAATCTGTTTTTTCTGCTAAAGTTTGGTCAACTACTTGTCAAATAACTAATCAAAAAGTAAAAATGTTGTGCCATTCCTGGTTTGTTTTAGGACCCGACTGATATGAAAAATTTTGGACGATACTGATGCCAATTTTAAGGGGCGAAAATTCTGAAAACTCATGATATTGGCTGATACAATTTCATATTTGTGTTTATTACATCCTATTTTTCTTGTTTTTTTCATTAATTTCTTTCGTTCATTTTTTTAAATATTCTTTACATGATTTAACCATCTAAAAACCATGATGGTGTTTTGTGTTCAAATTAACTAATTTTTGTTGCTGTTGTATAGTTAAACAGGGGTGCCTCATATCTAAAGTTTTTTGTTTTCGTCAAGAGGTTGTGAGTTTAAATCCCTGTGATACCATGACCAAAAAACTGTAAATTCTAGGAAATTTTTGTCAGTATCAGCTGATATCATTTTCTAATTGAGATATCGGCTGGTCTCTAGTTTGTATCATCCAGTGATGTTAGAGCTGCAGTTTATTTATGTATAATGTGTCTAATTTTGCTTGTGTAGGTTTGGTGGAGAACGAAGAGAAGTCTGATGTACAAGCTATTATTGATTCCACCCCAGAGCTCCATCTGGACCTCAGCGGCTACAGAGGATCCAGGTACTTTAAATAATTACACTCAGTTTATAATGAAGTGAAGTCAGACTGTAAATGGTAGTCCATAGTGTGAACAGACCTGACTGAATGTATGTTTTCATAGTGTTAAAGATGTTTTGATCTGAAGGCTTATTCCTTGATGCTGTCATAAATTGTTGTTGATAATGTATTAATATATTTCTTTTTTTAAGCGCCCCAGACAATTATTTTTCAACAGCCGAAGTGTGCTCAGCATATGTGGGACTTCTTCAAACCTAGCAGTAATATATGAATATCATGTCAATTTTTTTTACTGTGTTCCAGCACACCGAATAAAGGCATCGAGAACAAGGCATTTAACCGGAACACAGACTCTCTGTTTGAGGAATTGTCCTCTGCAGGTAGCGGCCTCATCGGTGATGTGGATGAAGGGGCTGATCTATTGGGTAAGAGCTTTTATCTTTCTCCCAAGAGAAATCTAGTCAATCACCCCCTCTCATCTCTAAACTGTTATGAAGAAAGGGAATTCTTTTTCTTGTACATTGTCAATATATGTTCACAAAAAAATTGTAGCTTCCAACAATAATTGGGACTTCACTGAAAAAAGGTGCACTGACTTTACTTGATCAAATTTGACTTACAGCTTCCTGCCACTGTAATGCATTTTTCTAGTTTAAGTTAATTTAATGTTTGTGTAGTGCAAAATTAAAACGCTGTTTGTGTTAGTTAATCAAACTGACACTAGCAAGGATCAGATTGTCAAGATCATTTCAACATTGTGTCAGAGTTGTTCACTCACTAAATTTTTGGCCGTCCTGTCTCTAATGTGGAATGTCCTCATAACAACTGTTGCAAAGGACTGATAAAAGAGTGGTTCAAGTTAAAGCCGGCCTGAAATCAAAATCTAGTTCATATGACCTAGTTCATAACCCTGGTCACATAAGCATGATTTATCATAGCAAACAAAGTGATCTTTACTCAAAACGGAAGGACTTTTGTCCACCTTTAAAAATGTCTTCAGGCTTTTTAATTATGTCATTACATGCTAGTGGGTGGGGAAAAATAATGTTATCCAGTAATATGATGTTTCATTTCCCCCTGTCGCCATGCCGCCAGTCATCAAAAACACTCAACGAAAACGCTCAGCTAGCTCAGAGACCCTCCCTGTTACAGAGTTTCACGCGGAAATTAGTGACGGTACCGTTTAAGAGCCCATATCATTGAAAACTGAATTTTGCTCATTTTTTTTAAATAAAAACATAAAAAAACATGCCTATTCTGTCCCCAGTCCATAAAGTCAATATATGGAAAGTCCTGAAACCCAACACATTTACATATCCACCGATTTTGGCCTACAGCAATTCAGCTCCGCCCATTCAGGCTGAAGGCACATTACAGAGCTGATAACAACAGAGATAATTTACATATATTGATTTTAGGCACATCAACAAAAACTGTTTAATTCTAAGGGATAAAGAGAGGTTGAAAAAGGGTCATGTAAAAATGTAAAAATTATTATGACTGTTTTTGTACATAAACACACACGTGTTATAAGTGGACCTCATGGGGAAAAAATTAATACTAGACAATTGTAAGATATGGGCCCTTTAAACTAGCTGTTGTGAGCTTTTAGTTGTGAATCTGTCAAGTTTTCTCTGCTTGTTAAAAGAAAGCAATATATTGTACAACATATCAAATTGCTTTTTAATGCATGAGTTTGGAGTCCACACAGTTGTCCCTGTGATACCAGGGAGAGACTGTCTGTAGTGTATGTCAGGGATTGTAAAGCTAACCAAGCTCTCTTTCTCCATGCTGTGTCCTCCTGTCCTCTGGCCTTTGTCTCTTATCCCAGTGGAGTACTCTGGTGTGTATTTATCCTTCCCTTCCTTCCGTCTCTCTCTTCCTGTGGATCTCTTTTTCTGTTTCTCTTTAATTCTGTCCTCATTGTTGCGTCTATACATTCATTAATTATTCTTACATTCTGCCCCTCTTAATAGCGTTTATTGCAAACAGTTAGTTTACGTAGAAGTAGTGTTTTAAAGGGGAATTCTACAGCTTTTTTCAAAATTTCTGTATTAATTAATAAACAAGATGTAAACATCCTTCAGAGTGCTTTGATGTGGAGTGCTCTATTCTAGAAAAACTTAACAAGTCAGAATTGTTTACAGTGGTGGTGATAGGAACCAGACGTCCAAAGTGTTTAATGCCTCTAAAAGCTACCTCACAGAAAGTTATTACATGAAATGGTTATGCTCTTTTTGGCATAAATGTATTGTATTTTTTTAAATACATCCATTGCAAAGGGGTGCATACAGGGTGTTGTAGGGCAAAACAGTCCCCAAAGAAGTTTATCATTATCAACAATACACATAAAAACTCAGAAAACATGTAGGTTCACTGGTCTTTTTGGGTTGTAAATAATTTGGCCCTATTTGTGTTGTAGACGTAATGATCCCTGGCTCTTTTCACTACCTTTGTAAAGAAATCTGAATCAATGTTTCTGTGCAATACAGTGCATCATTTCACATCAACACACTCTAAATGACTGTTTACATTGATTTAATTCTGCAGAAAATTTTTGAAAAATTTGTCGAATTCTCTTTTAATATGCTGTCTCTGCAATAGTAACAGGTAATGTTTTGTAATGTTTGTGTCATTTATTCAAAGACTATACTCATTCTTCTTGTTCTCTCTGCAAAACATGGACTGCATGCTTTTTCAGACCTGAGTTTGCGTGGTAAGACATCCCATCCCATCTGTGTCTGACTGCCTGTCTCACTGTTCCATGTGTGACTACACTTGAGTGTTTGATGCTTTTTCTTCATTTACCTTTATACATATATGTATATGTGTGTGTGTGTAATATTTTTTACACATCCTACTCCTGTCTTGGCTAAAAGTAAGGGTCACACCAAGTCCCCTTCCCCAAAGAGAAACAAGCGAACACTGTGCTCTTTGAATGGTCATTGGGGCCCGACTGATCAGTACATCGAATTCAGATTTATCGATGAATGCAAAATCCCACCAATCAAAATGTAGTGATCTGATTTAAAGCTTTAACAGACCTTCCTGATGTGAAGAAAACCATTTGTATCTAAAGAACAATTTACACTCTCAAAAATAAAGGTAGGAAACTGTCACTGGGGCAGTACCTTAAGGGTACATCTCAGTACCTTTATTCAGGGAACATAATCGTACCATAATCCATTGAAATTATATATTCCAAGACTCCACACACCCCGTCTCGTCTCTTCAGGCCTTTTATTTTATTGTTCTGTTTTAAAACATTAGGTTATGAAAAGATACAAATATATACTTTTCCACTGGGATAAACTTATTTAAGGTACCCAGTTGGGCCTTAAAACAACTGTTGTACCTTTGAGGGAATATTTACATTGTTTGTACCTCAATGAACGAAAAATGTACCTGCACAGAACCCTTTTTTCTAACAGTGTATATAAATGACATTTATTTTAACATTTGTATTTACACTTATTGCACTTGACTGTCATAAATACATAGTTTTTAATTTATAAGACAAATATATACACAAATATTAAAACCAGTAAGATTTTTTACAGGTGTGATTTATGTCTTAAGCTCATCGGTACTGCACTGTTGTTTTGAGCATGAGAAAATGTGTTTATTTTCGTCTGGAACTATATCCTGGGCTAACAAGTGAATATCGCTTCTTTCATGGTGTTGATATTCATTTCTTAGACCGATATAGTTGATCTAGACCATTTCTGTCTGTCAACAAACTGCCACATAGATATGTATAACAAACAGATGGTCTGACCTGCTGCCTGATGCACTGCGCACACTCCAGTTTGTTACATTACTTAGTTTTTATCTGCCATCGTTGTTATTGGTGTAAAGGATAATGATTTAATTGTGCTTCTGCAGATTTTGGCTCTGGTAGGTCAGCAGGTCTTATTTAGAAGTGTTCAACCTGCAGCCGGGAGAGACCATTATCGCTGACAAGAAGGGGTTAAACACATGTCGAAACCAAGATTTAAGCTACATTCGAGTAAAGTATTTTACATGAGTAACAACTGCTGAAGTTACCGAATACCCTTAAAGTATAGCCATTTCTTCTGACTGTTTTGCAGTAGCATGTAAGCTAGCCCAAATGCCTAATTGGCACATTATTTTTTAAAACTGATTAAGAAAAAGTGCTAACCATCTTTTTTAATGGTCCAAATATATTTGGTGAGGGCGTCTGTCTGCCTGGGCATACTGCCAAAGTATAACCTACAGTTGTATGCAAAAGTTTAAATACTCAATTGGAAAACTACTGTTGTGAAAATAAGTTAACACACCTTCTACAGGAAATATGGCACTTTTTCTGCAAATTTTAGTGCACAATTTCTATTTATTTGCTTAGTTTAACATATTAGAACAAATTCATCATAAAATATAAAAATGTGCCAGAACCTTTGCACAGGCCATATTTTAGTTAAATCTTTTTCCCATTTAAATTAATTTAAATTAACTGTAACTGTGCATTAAAATATGCAGAAATGTGTTCTCTGTAGAGGGTGTGTAGGAAACATGGAAACACCACTAAATAACACGTAATATGCATCCAAACCTAACCTTTATCCTGAGGGTAATACAAAAAACTTTGTATGAACTGATGAAAGATTAAAAAAGAGCTAATTAACAAAAACTGACAAAACCTCTAAGAATTCTGGGCCATAAAATTGGTTTTAAGGAGTTTTAGCTTTGGTATGTATGTCAGTAACAAACACTTCACATTGGTCGGGCCCTAATAATCAATCTTAGACTATTTTGGGTTATTCTGGTTCTGACTGGTACCTGTTCTCGTTTTCTGCAGGCATGGGACGGGAAGTGGAGAATCTCATTCTGGAGAACACACAGCTCCTGGAGACAAAGTAGGCATGCTTTTCAGAAAAGCACATTTCTAAAGCTGATGGTACTTTTTTGCCTAGAAAAGATGAGTTAGATGGCCATGCTGATACACAAACTACATAATTGTGATATTAATCAATACAGTGGGTCTTTCTGTAACATCCATCATTTCTGAAATGACCTTGTCTGGTATTTAGAGGTTGACAGTTAGTGTGTGGTCATGTATAGGAATGCGCTGAACGTGGTGAAGAATGACCTGATTGTCCGTGTGGATGAGCTCACTTCTGAGAAGGAGGTTCTCCAGGGGGAGCTGGATGCAGTCCTACAGGCCAAGGCCAAACTAGAGGAGAGGAACAAAGAACTGGAGGAGGAGCTCAAGAAGTGCGTCTCACCTTCATTCTTTCTGAGTCTTTATTTCACTTTCATTCTTTTCAGTCTTTAGTCTCTTTCTTGTTCTTGTCCTGCTGCTTTAGAGCATGCCCTGTGTTCCTGGAACTGGTGGCTTCAGTCACAATCCAGTAAAAAGCTCTGAGCCTGAAACAGTGCCTTTACTTGATTTAATTTGTGAGGATATTGTAGTCATAACTGTCAGATGATAAACTACAGTATTGTGCAATAAACCATCCTTTAGAGATATAGTACTGTACAAAAGACCACCGTTTATTCAATTAATGTCCAGGCAAAATCACCATTAAGTACAAATGAATTTGTCAGGAGATATTTCTGAGGAGATTAGATATGAGAATCTACTTTCATAAGAAGAGCTCACAAAGGAAAATAAGTAAAAAAACAACAAACCTGGAGTTCAAAAAGTGATTCATGTTTTAGTGATCTAGTTATAGCTTCTAACAACCGTGCAAGACCTGGTAGACCACCAAAACTGTCACCATCAGATAAACAGTACAGTATCTTTGAGAAAGGAGAAAATCAAGCTCCACTTTTGCTTCAGATATCAGAACAACGACTGGCCACCTTTATGTCTTGAACTCGATATCATTATATCAATTTTGAAGGTGTGGAAAAATATCCCTGCAGATTTCTGAAAAACTGAATCAAGTCTAAAATCTCCTAAAAGAATGAAAGCTATAATAAAGGCAAAGGATGGACACACCGAACACTGAAAACATGTATTATTTAGTTGTTTAGGCTTGTGTGTGATTTTCTTTTTAATTTTTTTTCTGTATTCTGGAAATGAAATAAATGATTGGTCTCTGTCTTTTGCACAGTACTGTACTGTAATATCTCTGACCTCACAATGGTTTCATTTAATTTATGATTATTTAGAAAATGATTCTGTGCAACATGAGATCTTAAACTTTACCGCAGTTCTTTTTAATTGAATGGAATCCAAAGTACACAGAATAAACAAATATTTTTGCACAAAAAGCTTTTTACATAGCTGTGAAATATAGCAAAAATTCTGCAATTTTTCTATGTACAGAGAACAGTCAGGAGCAAGTTATAGTCTAATATATTTAATCTATATTTAGTATATAGTCTATTTGTATAAACACTCTGGAATATTTCCACATGAGGCTCTAAACATGGTCAATTATGTTCCTGCTAATTGACCAGCATTGACCTTTTATGTACCATAGAGTTCGAGTTGAAATGGAGGAGGTCAAACAGAAAAGCAAAGATGAAGATGAGGTGAGTGTGGCTTGCAACAAATCATTGATCACGTGTGTCAGCGGTGGGGCTTTGTGCAGCAGAACCAGTTTACTTGCACGTATATGTATATAATCACCCAAATTTCATAGTCTGTTTTTCATTGACAGAGTGATGTGCCCACGGCTCAGAGACGACGCTTCACACGGGTGGAGATGGCGCGTGTGCTGATGGAGAGGAACCAGTATAAAGAGAGACTGATGGAGCTGCAGGAGGCTGTCCGGTGGACAGAGATGATCCGGTAAACACTTTAGTTGAAAATACACTTTATCCTCACTGTTCTGAAAAAAAAAAACAATACAGGAATGCAGGAAGGCTTGTGTTATAAGGGAACTTGTTGGTTTTTCTGATATCCTACATTAATACCACATTCATTGTATCTAGCATAGAGACGACTGCTCTAAAATCTGTTGAGCTGCGGTGGCTGTTATCATGCTCGTTCAAAAAGTCTTCTGTGATACGTGTACAACAGATTTGAGTCTCAGCGACAGCACTGCCACAAACACTCTTTCAGCGGTCTGCTTCAGCTCTCAGCTGTCTATAACTAGACATGAGGCAAAATGCACACAAACACCACAGCCTCAGACAAATCAGCCGCAGACAGTAAAGTTTGTGAAGTTCGCAGTTTTGTTCTTTTTTTCTAGATCCAATTTATTTGGGCAGTTTTGCGCCCAAATAAAAAATGACAATGTACTTCAATCATATTTTTAGCTATTTTTTTTTCTTTGTCAAATATTAAACTCACATGCTGTCTCGGTGTTTGCTTCCAAGTCAGAGTTACGACGGATTTACGCTAGTGTTGTAGTCAAGACCAGTAAAAGGGAGTCTTGAGTCAAGATTGTGACTTTGTAGTGATAGAGTCTGAGTCAAGACACAGAGCAGATTACATTTTTTTTCAGAATATAAAAATAAAAAGACAAAATGGGTGAAAAAAAAAGATTAATTGTAAATGTATTGTCTCTAATTATACGTTATATTACTAAATAATATTTTATTTTACCATATATTTCGTGGAATATGACATTGGAAAAAGTATTTATTTATTTATTTATTTAGCCAGCCTAAAAATATTATTGATTATTATTATATTATAGTTTTAGTCCAGCTTTACATTGTATCTTTTGGCAGCAAATGATTATGATTAGGTTATTCTATGTCCCTTCTTCTCGAAAACATCAGAAACAGTGAACTGAATATAAGTCAAACAACATACGTCCGTTTTATTATCAAATGAAAACTTAGTAATAATATCTGCCCTCATGGGATATTTGAATTTTGGAACCAGTTAACATAGAACAACTAAGAAATAATACCCAGTTAAGCCATCATAGAAAGATCAATTACATCCTCAACCAGCAGTGAACAGATTTTATTTGAACATGTAGAGAAATTACTGTGTTATTCTGTTTGAGATATTGCTGATATTTAATAATGATGGAAAAAAGTTCAGTTTCCAGTTACCTCAGACAGACTCCTTGCATTCAGCTGGTCTTGAGATTTTTGGTCCAATCTCCACAACTATGACACGCATCTAGAAACAGCCAATGAGGAGCAGCATGAAATCACACGTGTTTGTATGTGTGAGAGACAGGAATAGAAAGAAACAGAGAGTGGGAGAGAGAGAGAGAGGGAAAGAGAGAGACAGAGTGTGGGAGATAGAGGTAGACAGAGAGTGGGAGAGAGAGAAAGAGACAGAGCAAGAGACAGAGAGAGAGAGAGAAGAAGAGTAGGAGAGGGAGAGAGCACAAAGATGATGAACTGGACTGGCCCAGCCTTTAGTTCCCATATAAAGTGACCTGCCTTGAAGTAGCCTGTTAGCCTCAAGCTCACTTTGGAGAATAGACTTTCCATGTTGCCCTGCAGTGAACAGCTCCAGACTCCCTTTTGCTGTTTAATATGTTTATTTTTAGGCAAAAAAATATTCAGAGGTTTTTTTGTTTTTTTTTGGCACAAGTGTTTGGCAAAAAAGAAGATGCAAGCATAATGTTGTCCTTTTCTTGCATCGCAGATCTGTTGTCAGAGAATCTTTATCAAATAATCTTAACTGCAACTTATGCTAACCATACACTAGAAGACTTTGAAAAGACTTTTGAAAGACTAAAGTTTAACGCTCTCTCACATCTAAAGACAGTGTCACGGTTTTTAGTCACAGACTATGATTTTGCAAAGACTAGGAATCTCGCAGTGTCACTATTTACAAGACTGCAACTAGATTTTTGAGATTATTCCCCATCATGCACCTCATGGAAATTTACAAGCAGATAAACCCTTTCCTTCCACTCTGTAGTGGTACAGATGCGAAGATACGCTGGCTGGGTCTGTAAAGATCTGGTGCTCAGATTAGTTCATGGCAGATCATCACCCAGAATCTTGTAATTAACCTGTAAAATGTGCAGTTACTTTTTAAATTTGATATAAAGATTTACTCATTAACACAACATGCAGCGAATCACCATTGTTGATTGGGTGTCATGAACTAAACCATAAGAAACAAACAAACAAAATAAGAAACCACTATAAAAGAAAACAGAAAAAAAAAACCAGAAAAAAAACACTGATGATTCTTCAGTAACGGAATTCTTCGGAAGTCCTCTGCACATTTCCTTACATGTTACAGGCTGAGTGAACCTAAAATATTAAACCAGTCAGTTTACATTTAAGTTAATATAATTATTGTATTGAAGTGGAGCAGATTTGCTGTTTTTACAGAGATTTCAGGCACTTCCGCCTGCATTTTCTCTCTCTCTCTCTCTCTCTTTCTCTTTCTCTCTCTCTCTCTCTCTCTCTATCGCGCTGTGCGCCTGCGCTCGCCCGCAAGCACTCACACGCGCCCCTGGCACGTCACTATTTGCATGAGCCAAGCCTTAAAACTTACCATAATATTAAACACGGTTGATTTTGTCGCAGCGTCAAGACAAGAAAAAGACTGACTTAAGACCGCCATCTTGACCACCTTACAATAAACGATCGAGATGACGGGAACGCGACGCAACTGTATCAAGACCCTCAGGATTTTATTCCAACATGGAAATTTGTCTGCAACAGTGAAATCGCTTGAAAAGTCGTTTGGTGTAAGGCCGGCATTAAGTTTGAACAGACTGAGATGAAATTTGACCAAGATTTTATTTACACCATCTCGTGCAGTGAGAGATTATACACCTATAAGACCACTGTTGTGACAGTATACAGTGAGGGGGTCTTAAAATTACTGGAAGAAAAATTTGTTGTTATTATTATGATTATTATGATTATGATTATGATTATTATTATTATTATATGCATAAACGCTGTGGAAGTAAAAAATAAAAGGTAAATGAAAAAAAAAGAAAGTCACATCATTATTTAACTAAGAAGATTATGTTGCCTGCATTAGCCTGTAAGATATATACATTATTTCTGTTTCAGTGTGATTTCAAACAACAAGTCAAACAAGTCAAACAACACAATCGGCAAATTGATGATCATCTGATGGATGTTTGCCAAGATATTGTATATGAATTAAATTCTTCATCTATTTTTCTTCTCTTTTGAGATGAGTTATATCTGCACTGTTTCTTTCTTGTCTTCAGTCCAAATCTGAGAAGTACTGAGAAAAGTACTGAGAAAAGCAACAGTACTTTAGTTCAGAAATCACATACACACACACACACACACACACGCTCACGCTCACACACACACACACACACACACACATACACACACACACACACACACATATATATAGATACGTATATGTACACTAAGCAGATTGTCTTGGATCAGTAAACGAGGTAGTGTGTCTTTTTGCAAAATAGTGAACTGATGAACATTACAAAAAGTGAATATATGTATGTTGTTTTTTCAATTTCCAATACTGAAATTGTTACACCCTTAACATTTACATTCTGTATGGACAGGTCTGAGTCTGCCTTTCCGTTTTTTTCTGTTTGCTTTGATGTCATGTTAATTCATTATGAACTGTCTCCTCTTCTTTTACAAAAACAAATGTGGTATTAATTGACAGTTTAAAATCCAGAATTAATACAGAATGTCTATACTTGTTTCAATGACCTACAGGTGAGAGATCATTCAGTGTAAAATTTAAAACTTACTTTTGACTTCTTAGGGTTAAACAAAATTATTTTAGCTTTTTGTTGTATCACAAGCCTAGCCTGTGTCCACTGAATGGTGGTCTATTTTTTGGTCTGCCGAAGCACTTCTCTGATGTAGTTGTTGAATAATCCACTAACTAGGCCAGCCCGTTGCTCTGAGGACAAAAAATCAGGCTTTCTGCCACAATCTAGAGACAGATTTGCTTGCATCTTCCCTGTTCTGATTTGTTATGATGTTCCTCCACAGAGCTTCAAGAGAAAATCCTGCCCTTGCTGAGAAGAAGAAGTCTAGTATCTGGCAATTGTAAGCACTTTACCTCTAGCATTCATCAGCAGTACAAGCAGCAATTTTATGATCATCTGATGAATGTTTGCCTACATATTTTATGTATATTTAATTCCCTATCTGTTTCTCTTCTCTTTTGACTTGTTTGTGGTCTTCAGCATGTAGGTAAAATGATCATATCTGGACTGTTCCTCTCTTGTCCTCAGTCCAAACCTAAAAAAAAGCAATGTCTGACCATGTTTCAGTTAAAACATTACCCCAGATTCTTTTCCTTGGGTTGCTCCTACCTGTGCTGCCCCTTCAATTCGCCCCACAAATGCATTTTACTCAAAAGCCATTACCTAGTACTTATGGTGTTCTGGACTGGGGTTGGTCGATGCTAGGCTTCAGCAATTGCTCATTCCTGATGCCTCAAATTTTGTATGTTTTTCATAAATGTTTAATTGTTTGGTCCTTTTACTGTCCTTGTATAGTGGTCAGTTTTGCCACACAAGATCTTCAAAAAGCTCGTTATTTTTTTTACAATTTCTGCATAACTCAATGGTTAAGATGTAAACAAAGTCGTTCAGAGGGGTTTGATGTGAAATTCACCATTCTAGAGAAACTTGCTGAGTCAGATTTATTCACAGTGGTGGTGATAGGAACCAGACATTTGGAGAGTTTAATCCCAGCATGAATTAATTTAAAATACGACACCTGATATCTGAGACATTGTTCTATGATAGTTTTGAAATAAGCTTTTGACCTAAAATATGTTTTTTAAAATTATGGCTGAGAGATATATGCAGGGCTTTGTAAGTAGGGATGTACATGGGTACTCAATAAACTTTAAGGTGCCAAAACTGGAATCACTGCTTGGGTGTTCATTATGTGTCATCTCAGGGAACCAAAGCAAAAAAACAGACCAATAGTTCAGGGAAACAGGAGTTTTATGTTTTAACAGAACTGTAAAATGTGGAGAGTTTGTGTGTTGTATTATTCTTTGCTACACAGAAATGTGTGCCTTAATGTGAACGTGTTGCCAAAGACGTGTTGCTAAGCAGGGGAAAAAGGCTGAGAAGACTGAGAAAGGCTGAGATAGCACAGCTTTTTTGCTAATGTGTAAATAAGGTAGTCTAGCTGATGTTAGCAAAGTCTTTATTTTCCACTATTGTACCATTATTAACATTGCATATAAAAACTCAGGAGACATGTACATGTGCTGGTTGTCATAGATAGTAAAGAAAATGGCTGTATGTGTTGTAGACATCATGACCGCTGGTTCCTGTCACCACCGCTGTAAAGAAAGTCAGTAAGTTTCTTCATTATTAACCATTTCACATCAAAATACTCTTTGTTTACGTCTCAATGTCAGAATTTTTAACAATCCCCTTTAAGTAAGAAATGTGTGGAAATAAGGGTGTGGAATTTTTGAGAAATGCTGTACTAAAGAAGACTTCAGACTGTATTCACTTTGACTTCCACAACAGAATTTTCTGTCCAAAAAGTTAGAACTGGAATCAGGATAATTAGTTGAGGAGTTGGTTGTCTACAGCAGTAGCTGTATTAGTTCTGATCCATCAGGTCTTTTGACCATAATGTTGGCAGTGTCCAAGGGCATGTCTTGAGTGTGTGCACATATGGTGAGTGTGTCTGTTCCGCTCCTTTCCCCGTCCCTGCATCAGTTCTCTCTGTGTGCTGTCACAGCTTCAGCCGGCTGTTCAGCTCCTCATCCTCTAGCAGTGCAGTAAAGGCTTCCCCCTCCAACGTGAAGTACAACCCACCTAGTGGTATGAGGAAGAGCAGTACCTTCTCCCAGTTCCCCACTGAGAGGTCCAAAGCTTTCGACTTCCTCAAAGAAGAGTAAGCATTGTTACGGTTTTGTCACACTCACGCTGATGTTGTGGCTAAAGACAGGACAAATTTGATGAACAAGCTAATAGTTTTTAACAGTTAATAGTTAAAAACAATAGTTTAATTTAATAGTTAACAGTTTTTGCTTTACTCCAACTGTAGTCCATCAGCCAAGACATGTTTGGTGACCAGAACTGCGAGGCTAATGTGGCTAATAATTAATGGTTAAATAGCATTATCACCAATTAGCATCATGTAAATTGCATGTCTTCATTCAAAGCTAAAGATACTTTTGTAGTAGATTCTTTTATTGATTATTTTTTTCATTTATTCTTAATCACTAATCTTGCTTCTCTCTCGTTCTCAGCGTGGACCCCTGCAGTTCTCCATCCCGTAGGGAACAGAAGAAGGCTCAGTACCGCCAGGTGAAAGCCCACATGCAGAAGGAGGACGGGCGGATGACGGCTCACGGCTGGAGTTTGCCCAGCAAATACAAGGCAAGATGCCATCGTTAAAACTTAACTGAGAGTGTCAGATTAGTGTCAGATCCACTTATTCAGATATCATGCGAATTATGTTTTGATTTTCTAAGTGTAAATAAGTTAACACATCCTGTATAGAGAACACATTTCTGTACATTTTAATTTAACTACTTTATTTGCTGAATTTAATATATTGGGGAAAAAAATAAATGTGCAAAAGTTACAGCACATTTTATAGTTTGTTTAATTTTTTTGCCCTAAATAGATATTATGCACTAAGATTTGTAGAAAATGACATATATAGGTTTGTGAATAGCATTTGTTAACATATTTGCACCTAGAAAATCAATACAATATGCAATTTGCACATAATTGTAAGTGCTATGTGGCTTTTTTCAGACTTTTACATTTCAGAGGTCCTAGTGAACATGCTCATCTATATACAGTGCAGAAATTTACCAAGTCTTTGTCCTTTTACCTTTCACTCACAGGTAGCAAATGGTGCGCAAACAGACAACAAGATGAAGAATTTGCCTGTGCCTGTGTATCTCAGACCCCTGGAGCAAAAAGATGCTTCTATGAAGGTCAGCTTTTTAGGCTTAATTGCTACCTTAAGCTTTAATTAGCGTCATAAAGTTCTTTCATCATCACATCATCACAAATTGTGTCATAAAAACAATGTCACATAAAAACACGTGGCATTATTTGTTTAACTTTATTTGAGTTTATATGACTATAATGTTTGCTTGAATTCTTTGTGGCTTATGACACCAGGCCTCATTGACCATGTTGACAATGAGAGAGTAGTCTAATACTGACAGATTTACCTTTTGAGTTGATGTGTATTTTCCCTGATACATTGAACAGTTACAGAGATGACATGGGGATTAAGATGCTATAAGCCTTTATAACTAAAATGTAACTGTAATCTGAAATCATATCTCCAGCTGTGGTGTGCGGCCGGCGTGAACTTCTCGGGCAGCAGGCTGCATGAAGGAGGATTGAGTGTGTGTGCTGACGGCTCTGTGGCTGAGAGCGAGAGTTCTAAACAGAGGAAAGGCTCTCAGAGCAGCCTGGACCAGCTGGAGCAGGAACCTAAGGTGAGAGGCAAAGCTGCGAGTCAGACACCTTAGAAAGCATCTTGTCAATGTCTTGTCAACACTGGAGCAGGCCTGGTCAGAAAAAAATAAAAACCATAATTATGAAAAACATGATTTAATATTGATAATGCATGTTTAAGGTATTTTCATTTCAGGCCTTTTACTTCAGTGTGATGGAGAAAGTCTTGCCATTCATTCATAATGTGAACCTGAGTGACAGTTAAAAGTATACCTTGCTGTTTTCAATGTTGAAACCATGGAGAATACAAAAGGCCATAAATTTGAGGAAAATTTCTCAAAACGAGATTGCTGCAATAAAAAGCCACACAGGGTTAAATTGGTTCTGTATTGTTAGATGCAATGCAGGGCAGCATGCAGAATAACTTTTGCTTTTTTATGCAGTAGTATTCAGACTTACAATTGAGCATAAAAAACTGACAACAATTAATAGTATAGAATCATATGAAAAAATATATTTTGGTGAGAATCTTTTTTGATATATCATCCACTTCTATACTAGAAGAGATATAACTTAGGACATCAGAGACGTGGTGCCCCAAGAGATTCTTCTGTGCTATTTTAGTAAGAACTAGATGAGATCTGTGAACTAATACTTACAATGCTGACATTTTGATTTTGTAACCATGTGACGTGGTGTGTCAGGAGCTGGAGCAAGAGCCGCTGCAAATAGAGATGTCCAGCCGGGTTTGGATCTGCACCAGCACCCACTCCTCCACAAAAGTCATGATCCTAGACGCCACACAGCCCTCTGAGCTGCTGGACAGCTTCTACGTCTGCAACTCACATGTGCTGTGCATCGCCAGTGTGCCAGGTGAGCCATAGAATGGATACACTTTTAAAGTGATAGTTTGTGAAAAATCCTAACATTTTTAATGATTTTTGCTTTACCCCAAATGTAGCCAATCAGGATATTCAATCCCAGACGTATTTGGTGTCTGAAGTTTGCTGGGCACTCTTGCTACAAGCTTAATGTTGATAACATGTAATGGAAGCTTAGACCTCACCAATTAGCTTTGTGCTAAAAGCATGCCTGAATCATCACACGTCTCGAACCAATAATTCCTTGTTTGGTGTATGTGGTTTTTGACACTGTATTGCATTCTGTTATCAATAAAATGGACAATCTATAAGTAGTCTTGGCTGTGCCACCACCACTTCAGTGTCACTGCAGTGCTGACAATGATCCACCTCTCAAATAAAATCCTGCTCTGTGGAGGTCCTGTGGGGGTCATACAATGTAAACCTATGTGGTAAGTGGAGCTCCTAAAATGGACAACGAGTGTAGATACAAGGTGTGCTTAATGAAATGGCCTTTAGGAAGAAAAAAGAATGGCTTTTAGAAAGCATTTTGGAAACCTTTTTTCCAGACTACTACATGTGTAGCACACATGTACATTAAGGCTCTATTGTTCTTTTTTTTTTTTTGACTACCAAAAATCCTCTTCCTTAGAGCATGCACATTGTCATTGCAACAATGACACAATGGCATAGTGAATTATTACATCTTTAATTGTTTATAGAACTGAAATCCATCCATTGACCTAGTCACTCAAACCAGACTATCACTTTAGGATTGTGCAGCCTGTGTAGAATGTTTATGGTGCAGTGATGTATGATTATATACTTTGACGGTTGTTTTTTCCAGGTTTTGAAGTGTATTACTCTTGCTGTTTGACCCTTTAATACAATCTTTACTCTGTTTTATAACTGTTACATAACAAGGAAATGACTCTAATTGTAAAGGACAATCAATGAGAGGAAATTAAAAGTGTTTTGTTTATTCTTTTGCATGTTTTAGGTGTCCTAGAGACTGATTACCCTGCTGGAGAAGAAATTCCTCAAGACTCAGAAGGGGTGCTTGAGGGCTCGTTGACTGGGAGTGTGGCCAGCAACAGCTCACAGGGCAGTGAAGGAGCGCTGAGTGGCATCTCAGCGGTCGGTTGCACAGCGGAGGGGGCAGGCTCTGGCAGCACAGGAACCAGTGAGCTTCCAGCAGAGCTCAGCCCTGTCAGGGGTAGAGGTAAGAAGTGTTTATTGTCCACGGCTATATAACCTAGCCTTTGCTACTTTAGAAGTAGTACACATTTAGAAGCCATTAAGAAAAATGTGGTGTAAATGAAGTATTTTCTCTTGTAACTCACTGAAACAAGTAGAGAAATTCTGTCTCCACACAGAAAATGATTATATGAAATGGTTTTGAGTATGTTGTCTGATGCCTGAGACTTTGTTTTATGATAGTTTTGAGAGAAGCGTGCAGGGCATTGCAAAGTAGTTCCAAAGAAAATGTTTTCAGTTTTACCACTAACATCAACATTATATATAAAAGCTTAGAAGACATGAAGATTCATTGGTTATTTTGGATAGTAAATAAAAAGCTATATTTGTGTTGTAGATATCACAGCCCCTCGCTCCTGTCACTGCCATGATAGGGAAATATGAGTCTGTAGATTTCTCTAGAATGGAGCATTTCACATCAAACCATTTTGAAAGGCTTTGTTTACATCTCAGCCAATTATGCAGAAATTTTGAAAAATTAGAATTACATAAAAGTAATAAAAAGTAGAGTTCTCAATAGTTATGTAATTACTGGTGCTATCAAATAATTTAAATAATTCACTGTGATTAATTACATTGTTTTGTGGAATCAATTGCAATTAATTGGATGTTTTATTTACTGAAATTTGAATTTGATTTAAAATGCAGTGTATTTTGTTTTTGCTGTATGTGCAGGCAAAATATGTTGTAATCAGAATATATTTATTACTTTAAATAATTCAGTAAATTTATTTTCATTATGTGAACACAGAGTTTACATGAACATGGACGTGAAAATCATGTAATTTTCATTGTGTTCAGTAAAGGCAACAGTGGCTACATGTTCTGATCAACAAGTATTTATATTATATATATGTACAGTCAATGATTCCAGCTCCTCCATGGCTGTAGGTAGCCTCTTGCTCTCGTTCATACAACTTTTTGATTCAGTAATATTCTTTAATAAGAACTTTTGTTAGTTTGCTGTTTGGTGATCCATAATCTGCCAAAAGTGCTCAACGTATCTTTTTAAAAGTGATCTAAAAGCTGCATTTCAGCGAGAGGGCTGCAGTCGTGGTTTCTGTCACAGCCAGATGCAGCTTGCAAGCAGCTGGTCTTCAGGCTGGAACTACAGATAATTTGTATGGTCAGTCTTGGAAAATGCCTTAACAGCATTAAAAAATTGTGTGGCATTTGCAGTGTAATGCATTAAGACATTATTAACATGCAAAATTTGACCGCTCTAATAATTGCGCTGAAATAAAGGAAAACAGCAGTAATAACTCTAATTCTAAGGGTTAGAGAATATGTTCATGAATATGTACATTTTGACATTTGTACGTTTGACACTCAGCTTGAAACACATGAATATGTGTTTCATGACATTTACAACACTTTCCCCTGACTGCTGCTTAGACACTATTAGAATAAAAGCTGGGCTTCTTACTGTCATCTTGCTTTGGTGCTTACTGATTTGATGTGCATACATTTTGTTTCGGTGCTCTGCGACTTTGGTGTAATAACTCTGATATCAGGGATTTGCTTACATATGAGCTGTTATCAGTGGTACAGTAAAGCTCATGTTTGTGTAGTGGAGTTGTCTAGGGAACCTAGCCCTAACGAAGACGGCGTCCCCACAGCAGAGGAGGCCACTGAGGCTACAGAGGAAGAGGAGGGAGGCACAGGAACAGATGCCAGTCAGCCTGGCATTTACACTGAGCACGTGTTCACAGACCCGCTGGGAGCACAGCCCGCTGAGACCACCGCAGCCACAGACAATAATACAGGGTGAGCAGAGAGAGGACTGAGGGAGAATGCAGATTTTTCAGCACTATGCTTCATTATAAGTTTCAAATTACATAATGTACAGTGTCCTGCTCTTAGGTTTTCAGTCTTTTTTATGAAATCAGACACGTTTTAAACACTTCTAGCTGAATGTGTTTTTTTTTCATAATCTTAAAGCATAACATATTGGAGGGAAAAACACAAAATGTGGTCTGTGCAAAAGTTATAGGACATTTGATTTTTTTTTCAATATGTTTAGCTCGATAAGTGGAAAGGAGTAAACAAATGAGCAGACTAGTAGAATAGGATGGGGGACCATGGCTGGAATATTGCAGTATCAAGTGACATGAATGATCAGTACACAACGACAGTATAGCAATAGGTAGTAGCAGATGCAGTTAGTCAAGATACAAGAACAGTAATAGGTTCTTTGGAATTTACCATGCAGACATACAGCTGCGTTGTGTTTTAAGTTGCATTTGTAACAAATGGGCTTGCGATTGGATGCAGTAAGTTCATTGACAGTCCACAAAGCCAAAGCGGAGGTCAAAAGCACAGTCCAAGATGAAACTTGGGCAAAAACAATAACAAATGGTAACAAAATCCAGAGGGTAAAAACAAGGGAAAAATTAGACAGATGTTTAGAACAGTCAAAGAAGCAGAGAAGTGGAAGCTCAGAACTGAAAACAAAGTGGTTATACCTTGCAGCAAGAAACAGCAGCGGACAAGTGGGTTGGAGATAAGGCTGGGGATGTGGAGCTCTGATGAGTATAACTGGAGGGAGAGGGCTAATATTCCTACAAAATGCATGGAGGTGTACAAACCTAATTCCGAAAACTGTTGCGACAGAAGCTAAAATGTGTATAAAATCAGAAAGCAGTAATTTGTCTACTTAGACCTGTATTTGAATGGAAACAGGACAAAGACAAGATATGTTTTGGTTTCCTTTACTCACTTCATTGGATGCTACACATTCTGAAGAAGTTTGCACTGGGCAATTTAAGACTAGAAACATTGTGAAATGTTACATATTAGTGCATAATGCATGCTACACATTCTAAAGAAGTTTGCACTGGACAATTTAAGACTAGAAACATTGTGAAATGTTAATTATTTTTCTACAAAGCTGCTTTGTGACAACACCTGTTGTAAAAAGCGCTCTATAAATAAACTTTGACTTTGACTTCAAAAGACGTCTTAAACAAGTGATGCAGTTAGGCTTGAGTATAAAAGGATCAGGAAATCCAGAGAAATTTCTTTGTGTAAAGGGGAAGGCCAAAAACCAAAACAGAATGCCCATGACCTTCAGTCACTCAAATAGCACTACATTACAAAAAGGGTATGTTTCTGTGATGGATATCACCGCAGTAAATACAGTTAGTCACTACATCTAAAAATTCAAGTTAAGACTACAAAGCGCAGTGGAAGCTGTATGTCAACAACGTCCAGAAACTACTGATTTCTCAGAGCTCATCTGAAATGGACTCATACACAGTGGGAACGTGTGTTGTGGTGTCAGGAGCAAACCTTTCAAATTGTTTGTGGAAAAGATAGATGTTGTGTTCTCTGGGCCAAAGAAGAAAAGGGCTGTTCAGATTGTTGCTAGTGTAAAGTTCAAAAGCCAGCATGCATCATAGGATGGATGTATATTAGTGGGTAACTTACACATCTGTGAAGGCACCATTAATGCTTCAAGAGTTCAAGAATGTCTCCCGTTGAAATTTCCCACCTCATTAAACTCAAAATAAGACAACAGAAGACCCATGCAGTTTCACAGATGAAGACTGTATAACAGAAGAATAGCAAAAATTTACTCTTTCAAAACTGGATCAATTGGTGTCATCAGTCACCAAACAATTATTGAGTGCTGTTAAAGGGAAATGTGAGGTTACGCATGGTGAACATGCTCCTGTCTCAACTTTTTTAAAGCATGTTGCTGGCATCAAATTTGTAATGAGTGTATATTTCCAAAGACAATGAAATTCGTAAGGTAAAGCATGAGATGTTGTGTTTTTGTACCATTTTCAATTTAATACAGTCAAGTAGTAATGACTGCTTTCTGTTTTTATCAGCATTTCACATACTGTCCCAACTTTTTTTAGAATTGGGTTTGTATGACAACATTACTTCTGATAATATTCTGACAGACTGACTTATTTTCATGGACAGAAAGCCGGTCAGTTGACTTACCTTTAAGTTGAAGACTTGTGTCATATTTACCAACTCTGTCATGTCCATCATCTATTCATTTTTACTAATAAACTGACTTGAGTGTGGCTGTGTGTGTGTGTCAGGGAGTCAGGTCAGGAGAGAGATGGGGCGGTGTCTCCGGGCAGTGAGCAGGACCAGGCCAAGGAAGAGACGCAGAGGATGAGCAGCACTCTGCCCACCATGTGGCTGGGAGCCCAGAATGGCTGGTGAGACACACCCACACAGACAGAAATATCTTCCTTTTCTAGGCACTGTTTCCTCCAGTAGGAATAGCATTTGAGCCATCATATTTCTAGAAAAATGTCTTTGGCTGGCTCATTTGACATCTATGCACAGTCATTTTAGTCTGCTAAAATGTGCATCGGATGAAATGGATGCATTTCTTGCAAGGTGACAATTTGATGCATTCCTTTGTCTCTCTTTCAATCTTTTCTCTAGCTTGTATGTGCATTCTTCTGTGGCCCGGTGGAGGAAGTGCCTCCATGCAGTGAAGCTGAAGGATTCTATTCTTAACATAGTGTGAGTGGAAAAGAGTGAAGGATTAGCTTATTGGATGGTTAGGACAAATGTTACGTTAATGTCAGTTTGAATTCTAATTTTGATGAGAAAAGGATAGATTTGTCACATTGTACTGTTTTGGTAATGGATTTGCATGTTATCACATTTGATTTTGTGCTAAAAAAGCACACAGGCTCTGAAACGTGGCAGTAGTGGTAAAGCAATAGTTCAGCAAAACATCTAATTTACACAGTTTTCTCATTAACCCAAACACAGTTGATCAACCAAGACATGTTTAGTGTGCGAAGAATGCTTGTTTAGTCTTGCACTAGATGCTACCAGGCTAATGTAGCTTTTAGTAATGGAAGCTTATATCCCACCAATAAGGCGCTGGGCAAACTGTGTGCATAAATATAAATCATATACTTACCTTAAACTGCATCAAATTGCAGTTAAAATAAAATAAAAAAACACAATCTTCAAATTAACAAATTATGTGTTTTCTTGTATATAAAAACAAAAAATATATTGTATGGTCAAAAACAGAAGTCACAGAAGCATTTTTTATTATCATTTTAGTTTTTGTTACTATTATGTATTTATTTATTAGCTATGCTAGCGTCCTAGCTTCTACACAAAACTAACTTAGCTGATCAGTTTCTTTTGAGCTGTTTTGGTTTCTTGCTCAGTTTATATGCCTGATGTCTGTTTCCATAGTCACGTTAAAGGGCGAGTGCTAGTGGCTTTAGCTGATGGTACACTAGCCATCTTCCACAGAGGTCTAGGTAAGGCTCTCATTTCCATCATTCTGAATATTAGATAGATTCTCCAAACCTCTTTGCTTCCCAGCTGTGAAAAATATATCGTTACCCTGTCTCACTTTAAAGACAGCCAATGGGATTTAACCAACTACCACTTGTTGGACCTGGGCCGACCTCACCACTCCATCCGCTGCATGACGGTGGTGCATGACAAAGTATGGTGCGGCTACAGGAACAAGATCTACGTCATCCAGCCCAAAGCTATGAAGATTGAGGTTCATACCCTTTTCAGTGTTTTAACATGTTGTTTAGGTGGACTGCAGACCCCTAGTCTGGACTAACTAGTCTAACTATACTAATATTCAAATCACAATTTGAAAGTTTGTAGTCACTGTTTTCGATAATATAAGCCAGTTTGATGACAGATACATAGTGATGTGCAAATGTTTGGGCGCCCCTGGTCAAGTGACATGGTTTGTTAATTTCGAAGTAAAAATAAGTTAATGTATACCTCTACAGAGAACACACTTCTGCACATGTTAATGCACAATTACCGTTTTTTTGCTGAATTTGACATATTGGGAATATATGTGCACTAGCAAAAGCACTAGCAAAACATATTCAACTCAGCAAATAGATTAGATGGCAATTAGATTGCCATTAGATGTGCAGAAGACTACCATATTTAGGTTTGGAAAGGACAGGATGTGTTAACTTCAATTTTCATTTCATTTGCATACGACTGTGTACAAAATGATTCTAATGTGACATTAATACTCTACAACCTCATAGGTTTCTGATGATTTGGTTTTAAAACATGATTTGGTTTTTAAAAAGGTACAACTATGTACTTTTCCACTGGGATAAACTTATTTAAGGTACACAATTGGACCATAAAACCACTGTTGTACCTTTGAGTGTACATTTACATTGTTTATACCCTGATGAATGAAAAATGTACCTGCACAGAACCTTTATTTCTAACAGTGTAGATGATTTCATATTCACAGAGTAAACTGTACAACATTTAAGAATGTAGTTATAATAAAATAAAAAAAATTAACATCCAGACTGCCTCCTATTTAAAAAGTGTCAGATAACTTATCAATGAATAACTGTAAATATAATTATGATACATTATTGATCATTTAATAGTGTTAGTTCCCAAGAATCTTGAAATATTGATGAAACATCTAAAAATCATTTATGATACTTCAACCTGCATTGTAGTAAAATAATTTTATCATGGCAACCAAGTCCAAAACCTTTGAAATGTACTCTACTAGTTATGTTCTTAATGGCTAGTAGGCTGCGTGATTAAGGGCTACTTGTGTTTGCAGAAATCGTTTGATGCTCACCCCCGCAAGGAGAGTCAGGTGCGTCAGCTGGCCTGGGTGGGTGATGGCATCTGGGTGTCCATTCGTCTGGACTCCACTCTGCGTCTCTTCCACGCCCACACTTTCCAGCATCTCCAAGACGTAGACATTGAGCCCTACGTCAGTAAGATGCTAGGTGAGGAGGAGAAGCTTACCTTCATCCCTAACATGTCTCAGGCTTTTATAGGTCTCTGGAGAGGGGAACAAGCATAATGTGGTTTGAGGTGTTGCTGCTACTTGAAGGTTTTTCTGATCTTTGGTGTGACTAATCTGATTATCCAAAGCTATGCTGCATAGATTTTACGCCACAGTGTTCAGAACTGAGGCAGTGTAAACAGTCACGCTGAAATTGTTGATGTGAAATGCTTGATCACACATAGTGACACAATATCGTCTGAAGTGCAGCTGTTGGGAAACTAACAATGTCGTGGTCTCAGAGGTGAAGCTAATTAATTTGACGATTTGCGACATGTTGGTTTCACAGCCTTAAATTGACTGCTGTGATCCTTAGAAGTCTAGAATTATTATTGCTGGTTTGCTGTACATTCAGTTTACATTATGTAATTATGTACATGTAATTACTGTACACACACACACACACACACACACACACACACACAGTGCATCATATCAGTTCCCATAACGGTGCATCTCTAGTAATTACATAATTGCATATTCAATTACATTTATGTTTGATTTACATTCTGTTTTGAAAGTTTGGACTCTACACTTCTGCTTTTTGTGTTTTGAAAATGTAAAAACGCCAAGGTTGGTTTTCCTTTTTGCAAAACAAGACTACATACAAAATAGTTTACTCACCAACAATTAAAATTTGGATCATAATAAAATGTCTTCTTTTCTGCTTACTAACACAAGTGTATCAAATAAAGTTTAGAAAATGTGCTTTTGAAAGAATTTCTGCTTGTTTCAGTGAGCTGTGAGTAAGAAATGATTGAACAAACTATGTAAAGGAGACATTTTAAGGCATATACAGCCATGGGGGACCTAGGAAAGTTAAAATGTTTTTATTGTATGCACAGTCAAAGCTGTTTCAACATCATGCTGCCATTGAGTGTTTCTTTCTTTTACTGTTAGGAACGGGTAAATTGGGCTTCTCCTTCGTGAGGATCACAGCTCTCATGGTGTCCTGTAACCGGCTGTGGGTTGGGACAGGAAACGGTGTCATCATTTCCATCCCCCTATCAGAGTGTGAGTTCATTAATACATTTCCATAGATACAGGATCTTGTATTGAAGGGGCTGTTGGTGCAATCATATTGGATGCCCCTATACATATATATCATATATAAAAATACGTCTTTAAAGAACCATTCTCTAAAAGATTCCATTGTGGTTTTTCTGTCATTGCCTTTATTTTTAAGAGTGTAGATAATAATGTGGCAGTTATCTTTTTAAAACTACTGCTAAAAGCCCGTACTGAAAATTATTTTCCCCAAAAGGGGTTTAAAAGCTGAAAGGTTTGTGTGCTAATGTGTACTTAATCTCAAAGTAGCACTGTTTTTAGTTGCTCCTTTAGTTTAGCAGTTTTAGCAACCACAATAGCAAGATCTAAACAGCTTTGTATTTAATGTAAGATAATCTACACTGACCAAGTAAATGCTCATTTATTTGCTTGTATAGTAAACAAATTGTCCCAAACTTTTGGTGAGCAGTGTAAATAGAAAAGGAGCAGACTTCAGACTGCTCTACCTCCCCTACGTCTCCTCTCTTCTCTATTTCCTCCAATCTCCTGTCTCTGACTGTCCTCTGGGCTCCTCTCTCCATAGCTGTGGGTCTACAGCATGGACTCCTCAGGCTGAGGGGTGAGTGGGAAAAGTGCCACATATCCGGCAGGCTGGCTGTGATATGACCTCGCCTTGTTGCTATATGCAAGCTTGCGCTTACTTCTGCATCTTGGTTGTCTTCTTCAATATTGGATAGTTCTTGTTATCTCTCCCTCTGTTTCTCTCGTGCTCCTTCTTCTCTAACTCTCTCTCTCTCTCTCTCTCTCCCTCTCTCCCTCTCTTTTCTACTGGTGTGACTCAGTATCTAGGGTGTGCGAGCTTTAACTTTTTAACATTCACCTCATCTCGATGGCAGATGCTTTGAATCCAAGTAGTCAGTTTGTGCACTATGCTCTGGTTGCACACTGTTCAACTAATGTAACTATAAGTAATAGTTGAGCAGAAAAATAAGCACAAATTTCCTCTTACTTCAGATGTAATTGATCAGCCTGGATATTTTTTGCACTGAAGATAGGAGGCTCAGGCTTGTTTTACACACACTACGTCTGTGGAACATGCAATTGCGACAGTTTCACCATTACAACTTGCGTACATGGCAATTCACACATACGACATTTACTGTGCACAGTGGTAAAGCAAGCAAGTTCTACAGAGATTTTTTAAAATGGATAAATAGTCCAATCACTTACTTCACTCAATAAAATATAATATAAAATAGCATGACGTTTGTCTACCCTTGGTAGCTTTCTTAAATTGTTTCAAATGTTGAGCCAGTATGTTGTTTAACAACAAACAAATATAGAGTTTGCATTTTTTATGCTGGTTTCTGTTTTCTTTTCATTGGTTTTCATAGTTCATTTCATTGTATTTTGCTGCATGGCCCATGTGCCACATGTAAAAAATAAGCTTGACACTCGTTTTCTAAATTCTGTGACATGCTGTTTGAATGCTCTAACCGAAATGAAAAGCAAGACGTCCCACATAACTCACACCATGCACAGGTAATATGTGTGAAACAGGTCTAGTGTACTTACTAAGTAATGAAAGCTTATAACTCATGGATTAAGATCATGCAAACTGTATACCTAAATAATTGCCCTCTTGCCTTAAACAGTGTTGAACTGTTAAGTAATCTTAAACAGACTTACTCATGTGGTTTATGACACAGTATGACATACTGTTATCTATGTAATACACATAGCTAAAGCCAGTAGTAGCAGCTATCGTGAATCCTACATTTTGTCTGTGCTTTTGCCCATTTTTATAGACAACAGTATGTCAGACAGTGCCAGAAATCAAACTTTGAACACTATGCTTTGGCTGATCAGCTACATGTGGAGTAGGAGGCAAATTGTATAACTTTGTTTTTTCACTGAACATTAGCTTTATTGTTGAGAAGAAATTTTCCTTATGTTTTTGTTAAGAGCCATGAGGTTAACATTGGCTGTCTCTTTTTTCTGCACTGTAGCTAATAAGAACGTGGGGGCTATAGCTAGCCGGCCCGGCGGGGCAGTCCGCGTGTACGGGGACGAGAGTTCAGACAGTGTGACCTCAGGCTCCTACGTGCCCTATTGCTCCATGGCCCACGCCCAGCTCTGCTTCCACGGCCACAGAGATGCTGTCAAGTTCTTCGCTGCAGTACCAGGTGTCTTATATATACACAAACTGACACAGAAAAACTCACCAAAACAGTAACACAGTATTGCAATACTTTAGGTGAAAAAAACACAGAGGCCCAAGTATTAATATTTTGAGATTTATTTGTTCAGATTTTCTATCTCTGTTAAGCTCAGTGATTGGACTAATAGGACACCACATTCAATTGTCTTCTTAGTCCAAAAAAGGTCTCTATTTGTGGTGGCACTTTTTGCAGTTTTTATTGATTGTTGAGTAGTTATAAAATAAATCATGAAATAAGTTTAAAAGTAATATACTGTATGTCCGAAAGCAGAGGTGTAGACTTTTATCATGACTGTAATGTTTAATCTTATCAGAAATAGCAGTTTTAACTGGTAATTAAATAAATGAAGGGTGAATATAAACACACACATATTGTTGCTGTCATAACTTTACAAGAGAAGAAAAAGTTATTTTGACCACTCTTTTGGTCCATTTGTTATGAAATCTTTATAGTAAATGGCAGCTGGTGTTTTCCAGTGGTATAAAAATCTGAAACAGTAAATGGAGTTACATTTTTTTTTATGGCAGGGACTGTTTTGTGTGGATGTGCTGTAAAGCTTATGGAATGAGTTACTGTAAAATTCATAAACAGAGCCTTAGATGTAGAGACTAGCAGTCAATAACCTTGCCAGATACACTATATGTCCAAAAGATTGTAGACACCTTCTTATCCAGTGTTTCTTCTGAAATCAGTGGTATTGATGGGGGGAGTTTGTTCCCTCTTTGCTGCAGTAACAGCCTCTACTCGTCTGAGATGTCTTTATACTGGATGTTGGAAGATTGCTGTGTGGATTTGATTGCATTCAGCCAGAAAACCATTAGTGAGGTCAGGTACTGATGTTGGATGATTGCTTCCTGATCAGAAACATCACTCCAACTCATCCCAAAGATATTGGATAGAGCTCCATCGCTTCAGAAAACACAGCTCTGCTGTTCCACAGCCCAATGCTGGGGGGATTTATACCCCTCTAGCCAATGCGTGGCATTGGGCAGGGTGATCTTTTGTGGCTGCTCCAGAGCCTCGCATTCTATGGCTTTCAGTGGGGATTATGCCACAGTGCCTTTCAGTGGATAGGATGTGCACACTGAATTTTGCACAGTAATGTAATAGTATCTAAGGTGTCTGGATATTTATGGACATATACATCGTAACGTAATGCAGTATGTCGTATTGCAGTACTTAGCATATTACAAATCATTGATAATAGCGTATCTTGGCTCAAGAATCTTAGATTACAAGAATATTACCATGTGATTTTCAACCATACGACAAGCTTCGCACTTCTTCTTACATTAGTGTCATCATGGTGCCAGCAGCTTTTTTACCTGCTAAATCAGTTGTATGCGTTTGTTTGTGTTTGTTCTTAGGTCAAGTCGTTCCCCCAACAACGTCACCTGAAAGCATGACCCAAGACTCAGACGCTCCTTCTTCTGATAGTCCATCGCAGGAGCAGCAGTCCAGGTTCATGCTGGTCATGAGCGGAGGGGAGGGCTATATCGATTTCAGGATGGGTACGAGCTCTAGACACCTACTGTTACACATGCTACATTTTTTAGCATAGCAGTAAAACAAGATAGTAGAACTTGGAATTTCTGTGTGGACCTAATTTTTGTCAGTTTTGGTGGATTGGAAACAATGAGACATTTGAAAATCTTATGAAATTGACCAGCCCTGATCTGGGCTACTTCAAAGTGCCCATATTGAGCGGTTCAGTTTTATGCCTGCATTTGGCAAGTAATAATTAGGTGGAAAATCAAATTTATACAATTTTCCCCTCACTCCAACGTAGTCAATTAGCCAAGACGTACTTGATATCAGACGTTTGCTTCTTTACTTTTGCACTGGAAAGATAACTGCAAGCATCAGACTTTCTTTAGAATGTATTTTGTTGTCAGGTATCTCAAATAAACTTCCGTAAGTCATTTCTGACACTGACATACTGTTAATTAGAAAAATGAACAGACATAATTCAGGCTATCGCTAAAGATTTAATATGAAGTAGCAGTAGACAAGCAGAAGATAAGTACAGTAAGTACAGACAATAAACTGTAAACAGCACTATACAAAATACTATGCAAAACACCATAAAATAGACAAGGACTTCTTAATCTTTTTCAGTGTGACCCTTTTTTGGGTTTAAAAACATTTTGCAACCCCCTCTTTCCATTCATAATGTATCTTGTAAGGTGTTAAGGTAGCACCACTATAGCACCACTCTTGCTTACTATTTCATGTTCAGAGATGCAAACTACTCCCCCTTTAGCATAATTTGCTGTTTTGAGATCACAATAGGTCACCATTTTTGGGGGGTGGGGGTTCGGCCGGTCAGATGACTGACAAAAGCAGTTCAGAAAGAGTTGTTTAATTTCGCTGGACTACATTTTTTTTCCCACTTGCATTCCCAAAAAGAACCACCCCTACTCTGCCTCTGATAAAATTGGCTCTGACCCCAATTTTCTTACCCTAACCATCTCACTCCTTATCAATGAAGGCAATGAGAACTAGCCAATCAGAGGTAGAGTAAGGTGGGTCATCACGGAATGCCAGTGGACAAGGCCTCAGTATGTGTATCTGTTCATTCTTGTGAGCTGAGGAGATGAAAAGGACGAGGAGTCTGCCGAACATGAGATGAATTGTGCTTATTCTGCTAACTCTGACCTAAATGATTGTTAATAACAATAAGAGCTGGCTGGCCCTGTATGCTCACTACACATGTTGCGTAGGGCTTTGCAAATTATGCAAGGGCCCCAACTCCCCCTTGTGTCAAAGATGAGAGGATTAACCAACACTAACCATCTGGTCTCAAAAAAAAAAAAAACACCATGAGAGTGAATTGTGGGAACAGCAATCAGGTAAACTTGTGTTCTCTCCTCTCCATGTTTGATGTCAGCAAATAACAAAGAAGTGACAACTGTTTATCGCATTAATAACATCAAAGGACAACAGTGTTTATAGACTGCAGCTGGGATAAGATAAAAGCGCATGAACATGTGTTCATATGCGCATGCACAAAATGAAACTTGCGCTTTGCAGCAGCAGCCTCTGTGGAGACCAGTCCAGTTCAGATATATGGGCGAGATGGCACATTCCTCATAACACACATTATTTTAAAACAAGACAGTGGTTATCTAGTCTCTCAGTCTAGATTTAGTTACTACTCTAGACTACTGCAAAATGGAAAGCAATATTGAATTTAGAATGTTGATTAGATGGGCATACTGAGCAAAAATGAATGCACATCTCTCAGTGAAGTATTCAACCAAGCCACAGTATAAATAGTATTTTATATTTGAAACAGGAAATCTGGGAGACCAGTTTGAATGGGCCTGATGCAGCTGATAAAATTAATAATAGTATTTTCTATAATTTTAAGCATTGTTTGTTTATTCCTCATTCTGTTCTGTATAGGGCTACTTATTCTTAGACTGACAGATGGAGCAAGCTGTTTTAAAGGAGGGAGGATTGTAGTGGGAGCACTGGTTTGTCAGATGTGACTATGTGGCAATTGCAAAAGGTTTACCTGGCTCAGGGGTAATAATTCTTTAATAATTCAGAACCATTAGCCTACTGTGTTTGCACACAGAGGAATTGGACCTCTGCATTTAACCCATCCATGCAGTGAAACACCCACATGCATGCACACTAGTGAACACACACAGTAGGGGGCAGTGAGCACACTTGCCCAGAGCGGTGTGCAGCCCTATCCACAGTGCCCGGGGAACAACTGGGGGTTAGGTGCCTTGCTCAAGGGCACAGCAGTCACATACTGTCAGGCCTGGCTCTGTTAAGCTGAGGGGATCAAACCAGTGACCTTCCGGTAACAAGGCTGGTTCCCTAACCTCCAGCCCACGACTGCCCCCGTAGGCGAGCCCCTTTGCAGAATTTTGCTTAGGGCCTCAGGGAGGTCAGGCCCGGCTCTGTTAACACTGTTCAATAATGTTAAATAAAGGTGTGACAGTTGTGTGTTGGTCAACATGGCTGGGTTAGCTAGGTAGGTTAGCCTAAGTTAGCTAGCCAACTATGTAGCCCAGTTTTTCTAAGGTGACGTGGTAGAGAAATGTGAAAATGTCAACACCCGTTATGTTGGGTTTTGTGACAACACAAACCTATTTCTCGGTTTTGAAAATCACACCTAGGGTATGTTTAATCTGACATTGGGCTGATGCAGAGTGGTCCGCAAGTGTTTTCGGTTGTTTCTCCACCCACATAATGTATTCGCCTTTTTTACCCCTTACCTGTTTGCATCCCAGCATGTGTATTTTATCAGTGCTGATAGTACTTTTTTTTATAAGTGTTTTGTCTCCGAAACCACAATCTGATTTTCATAATATCTGATTTTTCACCAAACTGTCTGATCTGTCTTTGTCAGGTGATGACGATGGAGGGGGAGCGGGTGAGGATGAGGAGCCGCTGGAGCCCACAGTCAAGCTGCAGTCAGCTCCCACTAAAACCGAGCGCAGCCACATCATTGTCTGGCAGGTTGCCACCGGCGACGAGTGACCGTCCAATCACTGCCTCAGGTTCAACAGAGAGCTCCGCCCCCTCGAGTAACCCTACATGGGCCTCCGTGACATGTTTTTATTTCACTATTGTTATTATGATTCTCGTTATTATTAGAACAGTTTCAGCAGCTCACATCACCGGTGATTTTTATGAAGTCTATGAGGTTTATCATTTTTTTATGAATTTGGCATTTGTTCTTGACAAGACATGAAGGTAAATAGGGGATCAGAAAAGAGGAGAAAATGGCAGGGAATATTAAAGGGAGCAGATGAATCCGTCCAGGACTGTAAATCCTGAATGGTAAGTCCAAATAATGAGCAGTACTCTACTTGAGTACTGAAACACAGGGATCAGTGAAGGAAATGAGCATTTTTAGTTTACGCCATGACCAAGTGTATTACCACACATTATACTGTATAAGGGATTATAATGCAGGTTCAATTTGTAGGTTGTGTTGTTTTTGTTTGATTGATAGGCATTGTGCAAGACCAGGCCACCTTCTGGAGCTATGGGTTACATGCGGTGGAACTGTGTTGAGGTAGAGGTTTCTAGAGCGTCAGGAAGCTATTTTTGCTGATTGTGGCATGGGTCCTGTATGTATTATCCTAGCACCTTAACGGCATGGTGTGTGTAGGCATGTCTCTCTTCGAGGGGTGTTTTCTTGCCTGCATGGAAGAGTCCAGTATGTCATTCATCAAGGCCCTAGCTCTAGAGTCCGTCTAGCGTGTTAGCACCTTTATGCTAGAACTAGCTTGCTGGCACTTTAAAATAGTAACTAATGTACACCTACACTTACTCTAAGACCAACACGTGAGGTCTTTTATGTTATTCAAAAGGGACTACCCTGTTACCAAAGGACAAATTGTAGAACTAAGAACAAAAGCTTAACAGCCTGGATATAGTCACTTGCATTTCGCCCTAGGCGACTTTTTTTGACGTTTAGCGACGTTCTCTACACAAAATCAGCGATCAAATTTTTTATAGGACTGCTTTTTTCCTTGACAGGGATTTTTTCAGAAATCGATTTCTGTTGCACCTTACATCATTTGTCTCCAAGCGCTAAGCCAGTGGTTTGGTTTTTTTTTGCTCATTCGTTTCTGTCTTGACTCAAGTGTTTACGTGTACAGTCTGGGATGTTGAGACCAGTCAGTATGTTATTATTCCCATTCCTTTGCTGTTTTTGTACACTTTGTGTGTGAGATGGTATAGTCTTTTCTTTGGCGGTGTTTGTCAAAATGAATGCAGGACGGGGCCAATGTTTGTCTTTTTTTGTATTTGAAGAAGAAAAAAAAATAACCGGCTTGCAAGTGGTCTAGTTTTGTTTTTATTCCGACTTAGAAAGGGAATATTCATATCGTCGGTATTGCCATTCCAGTATTTATTTTTCATAATGAACTTTGTTGTTCAGAATGTAACTTTATACATGAGAATTATATTAGTTTGACATAACTCATGTGACGTCAGACACACTCAGATTTGTTTCGTGTGTTCTCGCAGACATTGTGAAGGAATCGCATTAATACTGGTTGTAACATCATGGACTGAAGTAGGTAGGGTATACAGAATAACCTCTGTGTGGATCATCTGGAAAATCAACACATTCATTGTACTAAGCTATGCATGTTTTTTAAAAGGACACTGCGGCGTATTTGTTCAAATCCCTGTTTATTGCCACCTTTTTGGGTGGATGTGTGTGCGGGTGGGTGTATGTTTGGGTGACTGATGTAGAATTGTACTGAAGCTCCAGTAGCTGCAGTTGTGTGTATGTGTGTGTATGCATATGCGTGGATGATTGCTTGATCCCTTGAAGGGGAATTCCACCAACTTTTCAAAATTTCTGCATAATTCAGTCATTGAGGTTTAAACAAAAGCATTCAGAGTGGTTTGATGTGAAATAGGTAATTGTTGAGAAAAATACTGACTCAGATTTCTTCACAGCGGTGACAGGAACCAGGGCCATTTTATTTACCATCCAGAACAACTGTAGATAGGGAAGGACACTTTCCAGTCAAAAATGGCACTTTCAATTTCCGGCTAAAAAAGAAAAAAAGGACAGATTTTGTCCAAAATATAGTGTCAAAATCTGAGACTTTAGACGTAATTTTAATGCTAATGAAAATTAGACATGGCGATAAAATAAGGACTGTTTGTTCCCTTCATTTAACGCTCAAAAACTTTTCCACTACAGTTTTGGTGCAACTTGGTAACATGACATTCTGCTTAATATGCAGAATACTGAGAAATACCAGAAGCAGAAGTGAACGTTCTTTGGAGCATGCTAATGCTATCTGTAGCCACAGTTTATGAAATGACAAACAATATCACAAAAAATAGTGTAATTTGTTGGAAAACGAATCCGTTTGCTGTTGTCGAAGACATTTTGTGGCACATCCTGTAGCCTACAGTTCATTTTATGTAAACTCGTTTTATTTATTGTTTTCGGCCCAATGTGTCCTGAATTTTGGTTTTGGCTAAGGATTTTCATTTTGGTGTATCACTACCTGTAAATTTTCATTATTGTCATCATTCTTCTATATTAAATCTTGTATATTGTGTACTGTATTGTATATTGTTTACTGTATATGTATTATATTCTATGTTTGTGCAGTGTGCTACAACAGAGTTGAATTACATCTTGTTGCACCGGATTCAATTGTCACCAACATGTTGTGTGGCAATACAAAGAATCAATCAATCAATCAATTATAGATGTAAAGTTGATAATGGTAAAACAGTGAAGAATCTAAAAAAATATTTTTGGGGGAATATTTTGCCTTACAGTATCCTGCATGTACCTCTACACAATAAATGTGTTTTGTAAAATATGTTTTAGGCCAAAAGCTAAAACAAACAATTTCTCACACTTCAGGCAGTGTATTTGTAACCATTTCAGTGTAATAATCTTCTGGAGGGAGCTTTCAGAGGAGTCATACTCTTAAGACGTCTGGTTCCTATCACCGCCACTGTGAACAATTCTGACTGTATATTTCTGTAGGACAGAGCATTTCACATCAAACCTCTCTGAATGACTGTTTACATCGCAACCATTTAATTGTGCAGAAATTTTGAAAGATGGGTGGAATTCCCCTTTAAATCTCACAGGATGTGCTGTGGTTGTCACAGCTTGTCATTACTGTGGTTTTTCCTGTTCAATGTTTGCTAAAACAGCATCATAGCCTTATTTTTAACAATCTATTAAACTCAATTTCATGGGGAATTAACTGCTGGTGACGTTTTTCTTTTAGTGCGTTGTGACTGGTACATTCTTACAGGATCTTAAATATTAAAGGTACCTCATATTTTTTGTACGTTTTGAACATTTTTCAGTGAAAATAAACCATCTAGCAGAATATTAGTAAAATTAGCACTCACATTTGGAAGAAAATGTGAGCTTTCACTTGCATGGCTCCACAGATTTACTTTGGCATTAATCAACTCTTTTTAGCATATAGCTGAACTAGCTGATATATCAAACTCATGCTAAACCCACTTGAGAAGAGAGCAAAAATGTCTTAGCAATCAAAGAAAGCAGACAGCTGCTAGTACTGGCCTCAGTACCAACCTGAAGTGTTTAATCAGTGCATTTATTATCAGCTGGATCAAAATCGGTAAAGAAGGGGTTTTGGATGAATGTCATGAGCTATTTTTCTGCACAAACTGCGAGTGATAAAATGAAAATGCATTAAAAAAAATGTAATGTTCTTAAGTTTCGTAAGGTTTGGTTTATGGGTTAAAACAAGTTGTTTGACATGTTTCTATCTGTAATTGTAATGTATATTGCTACTTGTATACCTTTGGCTTCCCTGACTTGCCCATAACTTACTGATAAGGTTTTTTTTATTACTTATTTACTTCATTATTTTTTTTCCCATTGGTATCCTTACGTTTTAGCCCTTTGCTTCTAGAAATAACGCTGTAGCTTTTTCTGAGAAAAGTGGCAGCATTGCTTTTAAAAATGCTCTTATTCTCAGTCCAAGGGTTTCCCTCACAAAGGATTTCTTGCTTTGCCAACTAACTTAAAGCTTAGTTCAATCTAAACCTGGATTTTCTGTCTCACAATGGTGGATGGATTTTTACCAGGCTACATCTCCTTGGCGGCTTCTGCTGCTCCAGGGCAGGTTCAGTTCAGGATTTTGCATCACAAATAGCGTCTGACCAATCAAGAACTGCCTTTGTGACGTTTGTGGTGCCATGACATGAAAAATACTGCTTTTTAGCAGAAGAAACATAGAAATCAATAATTTAAAGCAATTATTACTCCAGCACTAACATTGTGGCAGTGGCGACAGTGCTGCTTTTTTACTGTTCTAAATGCTTCAGTTACATATTTACTCTGATTTTGATTGAAAGATGTTCACCCACTCCCAAAAAAAAAAAAACTGAAAAAAAACCCCAAAAACTAATGTACATTTTCAGAACTTTTCAGTGTCAATGACTAAAAACTATTTTTAAGTTAAGTATTTCTTAAGTAGAATGGAAAAAGAACCTTTGTCTTTCTGAGGCATTAAATGTCTTTCATTAAAACCCCTTTGAATTAAATAATTAAATGTGTGAGTCAGAGAAACGAAGCCGAATGGAAGGTAAATTCAACAAACAAAATAACAAAAACAACAAAAAAAGACCACATTCTTATGAATTTCAGGTAATGTATCTGGGGGAAAAAAAGAGTGGATAGAGAGGATCACCAGTAAGACGTGAACATTTCAAAATAAAAGTCTTGGATTGGTTTCGTTTGCAGTGTGCTTATCTTCCACCAGGTGGCACTGCTGGACTGTGCTTACAGTCCACAGAGGTTTGAGGAATACCTCCTGTGAAATTACATCACAGACCTACTGCTTTCTCTCTCTCTGCCCCTCGCCCCCTCCCAACCCCCAGCTCCACCCCCCTCCCGCCCTGAGGCTACCAAACAGCCTGATGAGACAGCTGCAGCGTACAGATGCGCCTGCTGACGTCACATCCAACACACATGAACCCTTTCAGGAGATTCTTCATTATAGGCAACATATGTCCATTTATACAACCACATACATTCAACATGCGGTACAGCATTCATTAAATGTCACACGTTACAGTAAGAAACATTATTAATGTGATGTTTGTGTCAGTATGAACTGGACATCAGGTGCTTACCTTGCATAATTATGTGCTGCTGTAGCACTGTATCAGCCCTTATTGGCTGTGCTAATGGATGTGTTTTGGTAAATGGTGTGTGTTATAACGACTCCACACAAGTGTTTATGTGTGTGTGTGTTTATGTGTGTGTGTGTGTGTGTGTGAGAGATGACAGGATTAGCTGGTGGATTTCTGAAACAGAGAGATGCGAGCGAAGCCCAGGCCGCCCACGCACAGAGAGAGAGAGAGAGAGAGAGGGAGAGAGAGAGAAACTTGCTCGTTTGCTCACTCAACCCGCCCTACATGGCTCAGGAGGCAGCGCTTACGTAAGCCAGCCAGCTGCTCTATGTCACTGAGGCCTTTGGGTGTGTGTGTGTGTGTTTGTGTATTCACTAAAGCCCCTAATCACAGTCATCATTCTCAGGGACCCCTATTTGCTTTCTGTACATTGTCTTAATTATAGGTTTTGCCATGTCACTTAAATGTAGTGTAGGCTTTAGCGAGTGTCTCTGCATGACAGTATTATGGAAATTAACCTTATTTGGAAAGTCTTTAGGTTCACACTCTGATAGCTAGAGACTTACAGTACTGTGCAAAAGTCAGAGACCACCCTTCATTTATTTAATTTCTTTTCATTCATTTTTAGGAAGATGTTTAGATATAAGACAACTCACTTGCATAAGGAAAGGGAAAGGAAAATAAGTGAGTTTCCAAAACTGTTCAAAAAATGATTAAAGATACAGAGAAAATGGAGCTTCTGACAGCAGTGGAAGACCTGGTAGACCACCAAAACTGCCACCATCAGATAAACAGTACTTAGAGCTTTCATCTTTGAGAGAGAGGAGAAAATCAAGCTCCACTCCTGCTTCAGATCTGAAAAATCCACAGGTGTCTCTGTCCATCCTGCCACTGTGAGAGGACAACTCAGCACTATGAGTCTGAAAGGATGTGTAGCTGTCAAGAAGCTGTTACTGAGAAAAGGAAATAGACAAAACAGAAGTTAGTAAAACAAACAAAGAAGCTGCTGGTGTTCTCAGAACAATGGAGTGACCACAGCAGAGCCTGTAATAAGAGGCTGTAATAGAGGAAAAGGGTGGACACTAAATACTAAAAACCCTAAAAACATATATATATATATATATATATATATATATATATATATATATATATATATATATATATATATATATATATTTAGTTGTTGAGACATCTGTGTAATCCTCTGTTGAATATATGCTTTCTGTTTTATTTTTGTCCAAAACACTAAATAACTACAACAACTTGTACGTAATGGCTGTTTTGACTGAAAGTTAAATAAATAAAGAGTGGTCTCAGACTTTTGCACAATACTGTATATGAGCATTTTGGATTTGATGCACTGTACATTTATTTTTTTTTTTAATATTGCAGTTGTTTTTTGTTTAAGGTTACCAGTTCAGCCTGTATTAGTGTCATAAAGGTGAGCAGTTGGTGACTGCTGATGTGATAAAAGCCAGAAACCACTCAAATCCTCAGAAATGACAGTTTTACATTTCTGCATCTGTCACATAATAAAACAAGCAACATCCAATGTTGATGTTTTATCAGCAAGATTTTAGCCAATATCATTCATAGAACCTTAATATCAGCCAATATTATCAGTCAGCCAGTGCACTGGTCAGACCCTAGTGAATGTTTCAGAGGTTACCGTGCCCTGTCTGATAGGCTCTCTTCACCCTCTGTCTCTACTCTCTTTACTGGCTGCTGTTTGCTTGTACGTGTGTGCATGGTGTCTGTTTAGGTGTGTTTGTGCGTGGGTGGGTGTTAGACCTTGATCTGTACGTAAGGCTGGACATCTGTTGCAGACTGTCAACATTGACCCTGGTTGTGCGTCAGGTGCGGACAGTTAGAGAGAGAGAGAGACAGACAGAGCATTCTCCTCTCTCTCTCTCTCTCTCTCTCTCTCTGCTGTTACTATGCTGTTCCCCATGAGGCTACAGGCTAAAAATGGAGCTGCTGCTATTGTTAATGTGTTTGTAAATGTGATGTGCACATGAAGAGACAGCCTGTCAACAGTTTGGGGCCACCTAGCTTTTCAAAATGAGCATGTTGGTTTGTAATAACTTTAGATTAATAACTTAAGACACGGTAACACTTTTCTTTTATGAACTTTTCTGATATTAAACCTTCAGTATCTGCCGGTACCAAAGATATTCATTCTTAAGTTGATTTGTGAGACTTTAAACTCTGGGGTGCGAGTTCGATTAGGGTATTGAGTCTATGGGTTATGAGTGTGAGTCAAGTCTTTAGTCAAAAAATATTGTATTCTCGTTATTTGCTGCAGGTGTACAAAAGTACCCCTACTAACAACCTGTCATGTTCAGCACGGCCTCTAATACCAAGCTTTTATTGTAGAAAAACTACAAAACAGTTGACTAGTCTTTGGTTTATATAGTACATATGCTAGTTTGCTGGGGTATTAGGTAACCCCTTACATGGCCAGGGCGCACTAGCAGGCCCAAAGTTTTATTACACACTTCTATGACCTAAGAATAGCTCAACCAGTTTGTATTAAAGTCTCTGTAGTTACTGAGTAATAAGCCTTAGTATGTCATAAGCCGGAGATTTTAATTCAGCTGAATTTTTAATCGGTTTAAAAAGAAATGTGATCTCTGGAAACTTCCACTATAATAGTAACTGTGCTAGCTACATAGGCTACATAGTATATACTTGCCATCCATTTCAAGTTGTTTTGATCTTTGAGCTTAGATCTGTCCATCAGATTGAAGGTTTTTCTATAATGAAAGTCTTGATATTTGAAGCTGTATTGAACCTGATGCCTGATGCACATGACTGTAATAAAACACACACGAGAGTCCCCACCTCCGGCCAATACCAATATTGATCAGATATTCTGTCTTTAGAAACTACCAATCTTCAAAAAGAGCTATTTTTCAATTGAAGCACTTCACTTAAAATGAGTTTGTCCTGCTCAAACACTCTGCTACTCCACCGGAAGAAATGCACTGCACATGTGTGTGATATATCAGGATATATCATATTCAGTATATATTAGGATATATCATATTCAGTATCAACCCAATCCTGATACCTGGTGTCATATCACTGC